TTTAAATCCAAAACATCGGTATAAATCTTTGCATGCTTACGTATTACGGGGTACATATTGCCAACAAGTGCGTGGTCAACACCGTCCCGCAGGGCTACCGAAAATGGAACTTCTGCCTTGTACATACATTGTACAATGCACAATGTACAGTGCGTGCGGTCGACGCTGATCATGGGTGATCTAACCTGAACGCTGTTCCACGGAGATAGCCAAGCATCGCACGTGTCGACTCCATCATGTGTTGGAACATTTTTCGCACCCGCAGCCTTTTTTCAGCGCTACCCAGTAGCTGCGAGCCATCGCTGGACGTGATAATCACCAACTCTCCGAATCAGATCCAACACACGGACATCGTGTCCAGCCACTGCAGTGACCATCATCCAGCCACTTCTACATTGCACGTAAAACGCAGCAGAACAGCAGCAAGAGAAATAAAAAAGAAATAACGTATATTGGCGAGAGAACACAGATAAGTCTCCGCAAGATCTGGCAGCCGCCGACTGGAGCTCTGCCCTGACGCCTTTTCGCCAGATGAACAGTGGAACGTGTTCCTGACAATCGCCGAAACCACTGCTTGATAAGCTCGCCCCCAAAGCGGGAAGTGCCGATACACAGCCCAACAACCCCCCCCCCCCCCTCTCTCTCTCTCTCTCTGTCGACGCGATTGAGGAGCTCATGACACAGCAGTGTGCCCTTCGTCACACCAACGCGATGTAACGGTAACGGGGTCGTCGAGAGAGTGCAGCCAGCCGACGCGACCGCCGCGAAGACATCGAATGACGCGTGGCGACGGCAGGACCCGGAAGCGAGCACCGTGTTATCCGTACCGTCCTCTGTGGCAAGGAATCATCGCCGACAATGCTTCTAGCCTCATTTACTCATTTCAGTTGTATTTGGCTCGAAAACCATCCACGAAGTGGCTTTTCAGGTTCCGGTTTCAAAAGCTCAAAGCTGTGAGGCCAACCGACGAATTCGTTGACAGTAAATATGTGGCCTGCAGGGGCTCAGGGGCTCTGAGGAGTCATTCAACTGAGACGATAATCTTAAGTATTTCAGGTAGCATATTCGAGCCATGGATGTTGACCAGATATTGCTGATGTGGCTAATTCAATGTTAAAAGGCATTTGGCCGCAGCCTTCACTACTTGCTGATGGATGCATCGAGATTCCACGACGTGCGTAGGCCCATGACTATTCGGTGACCTTCGGCGGCGTTCGCTATATACCAAAGCTTACAACTCGAGCAGCGGCGCCTGCCCACCCCTGCCTTCAACGTGTATCGGAGTTGGTCTATGGATTCCGTTTTGACCAGTACATAAAAAATAAACGATGTTGTCCCGCTGGTGCCGCACAGCTTATACAGTGCGCGGATGGCTGTCAAATAATTGTAACAGGAGACCAAGTACTTGTAGTAGAAGACAAAGTACTTGTAACAGAAGACAAAGTGCTTGTAACAGGAGACCACGTGCTTGTAACAGGAGACCAAGCACTTGTAACAGAAGACGAAGTACTTATAACAGAAGACAAAAGACTTGTAACAGGAGACCAAGTGCTTGTAACAGAAGACAAAGTACCTGTAACGGGAGATCAAGTACTTATAACAGACGACAAAGTACTTGTAACAGAAGACAAAATGCTTGTAACAGGAGACCAAGTGCTTGTAACGGGAGACCACGTAGTTGTAACGAGATGTGATCTCATTGAGGACCGAATGTGCGTACAGTTAAATCTCATGGCCACTGACGAGCCAGCTCAACTAGCAATGCTGTTACAACCAACCTGTGTTGCGCATGACATTGGCCTGCCTGGCGTTTCGTTCGTCACACCGAATTGAAGCGGGTGAGAATCGCTTTCCGTTCAGAGCCACAACAGCTTGGATCAGTACCACCAGGGGTACAGCAGGCTTACAATACGTGATCATTGAAAGCAGTGAAAAGCCATCCTGAAAAGAGGGCATCTGCTTCAGCATATTTGGCGAAAGCTTGTTTTCTTAAATGGTTGTGGAGGAGAATTCATTTTTGGTTTGCAGTGACTGAAATGTATTTTTTGTCCATTAGATTTTGGTGTGCCCACAACGTGCATGTAAACGGGTTCCGATAAGCATATGTATTGTTGTCGCTTCATGCTTGTAAATGCATGCATAAATACCCAACATGTTATCGAAGCATACCATGATAAATTATACGCATATTTCACATTTCAGTATGGAAGAGGGAGGTGCAACAGCACACCTGCTTCACAAAACGGGTGCGTGTAGGGTGAGCTGATGCAAACTGCTCGGCATCCATATCTGGTTTTGTGGACGCACACGTAAGCCTCAAACATGCATTATATATATATATATATATATATATATATATATGCTTCGGAGCTGCGGTGTGAAAGCGGGCGTAATTTTCAACTTGTTCCACTCGTAAGACGTCCAAGTAACACACATTAAGAACAAATGCTCCGGGCTTCCGATTGGACTCAGCCATATTCGGCATCAGTTTACTCAAATTGTGATTACCACTATAGTGCAAGACTGGTCCTCTTGCACGTTCAAGCCTCGCACGTTCATTTCTGAATTTAATAACTGGTCTACCAACACCACAAACAGCTTCAAAGAGTGTTTATTTTCCCGCACGCATCCCGCCTGGCAGGCGAAAATGTTAACACATTGATTATTTTAGAGGACCAGGCTGCCTTGCATGAAACGTTAATGACCAACTTGTACCTGCTCAGTGTCTGTGAGTGAAACGAAACGTCGTTTCTGGCCTCCCGTTGTAATCAAAATTCATATTTTTGCTGTAGGTGTACACAGCAATACAATCTCCTATACAGGCCCATAAGACCATATATAAGACCTATAAGGAGGCCCGAAAACGTGGAGTATATGTGAAGGCGTTTATTCATATATATATATATATATATATATATATATATATATATATATATATATATAACTTTTTTGTCTCTTTGGATATTTTAGCTAATGCGCAATTTTGTAGCTTGTGGAATAGTGTCACTTGATTCGGTGCGCATACCTGCAGTGGCTGAATGAAGCCCTACTCACCCCCTGCACGTATAGTTTCACACCTTATCACCGTGGGATAAGCCTCAGCATAGCAGCATCGTGTGTGGAATAAGACCGAAGCGTTAAAATAATCAAATGGGCACGATTACAACGACTTACGTCCGTTACTGTCTCAAACGTCAGCCAACCAAGAGTTCAAGTACGTGCACGGCACCCAGCGCCGCCCGAAGCCAGGCACAAGTTCACTTTAAGGTCCTCCTCCCAGGTCCCACGTGCCTCCCCGCGCCAACTTGCAGTTCAGGATCTTGCGCGCCTCATATGAGCGGTGCGTCTGACCCAACGCCAAACTCTGCGTTTTGATCACGCGTTGGCTGGCGCTTTAATGCAGAGTCCGGTGACAGCGTAGAACATCCGTCTTCCTCATGGAGACTGTGCGTGCCTTACATGTTGCTCGTTGTGACTTTTGGTATCGGGGCATGCTGTTTTGCTCACTTGTACCCCTGAGGCGTCCCCTGAGGAACCTGATCCTTCAGCTAGTCGGTGTCACAAAACTAGTCAGCTGATACCAGAGAAGGAAAAACATCGTACCGTTGGATTCGAGCTCAAGACCCATGACTCCCGGAGCCCGAACACGAGGATAGCAGCAAGGATGCTGATAATCGCGCCGTCTTCCCTGAAACTCGGCATCAGCGCGAAAGACACTGTACCACAGGTGAATAATATAACAGGCATTAGCAAGTGATCTAAAAGCATGACAATACATACGCACTCACACAGTGTGTTCGGCATGATGATGCCATTGCGTCTGATTTGAGCAAACGAAAACAAAATTGGCAAATGCCGACACAACTCTGGAAGACCACGATACCCTGAACATATGAACCTAAACTCTTGAATACGATCAAAATGATGTTCAGCGACGTCTAATGTCACCGATCAATATACTCAAAGATCCCACCGTTCTGCTCCGTGGAGCTCAGCAGATAGTCGAAGAACGAAAGCCGAATCAACGGTCTCAGGCAGTCTCGCAAGAACTGTCAATGACACACCATAGTTACAAAGCGCAGTCTTATCCAACGCATTGAAATGCAGCCTTCCATAAATAAAGGTACCGAAACCATCTCCGAGAACAGCACATGCTCGCAAGAGACTACACCACAGGACACGCAAGCGCACGGTTGGTAAGCTACATTATTGCTCGTGCGAAACGAGCGCCCGTGCCTTGCGGCACGGCCTGCTGTGCTGACACCGTGATCTGACAGCACACTCCAGGCGCAGAAAGTCGCAGTGGGACACCAGTGACGTCCTCCACTGTAAGAGGTGGGGGGGGGGGGGGGGGGGGGATCGACGTGCGCTGATACGCCCGGATATCTGCCCGGATGACCCCATGGGATCGGCGGCCGGTGCGGACATCCGGCATCCTGTCAACGGGGCTGTGCGGGCGTGACGGACGTACGGCCGCTGGCTCCGACCTCCCGCTGTCCGGCGTGCGGGAAACACGGATGTCAAACGTCCACGCGGTCGACGGGCACGGCTGTGGACGTGGGGACGTACTCTGGCCGAGCCGGCGGGCGCACTCGCAGTCAGCCGGGCCCATCGGACGTGTAGACGAGATTCATCGCAGCCACAGGACGCGCAGAACGCGTGACCGGACCGTCACACCGTTTCAGCCGCGTGGCCGGACCGTCACACCTCCTCAGCCGCGTGACTGGACCGTCACTCCTCAGACGCGTGGCCGGACCGTCACACCTCCTCAGCCACGTGACCGGACCGTCACACTTCAAACGCGTGGCCGGACCGCCACACCTCCTCAGCCGCGTAACCGGACCGTCACACTTCAAACGCATGGCCGGACCGTCACACCGCTTCAGACGCGTGGTCGGACCGTCACATCTCCTCAGCCGCGTGGCCGTACCGTCACACCTCAGGCGCGTGGCCGGACCGGCACACCCCGGACGCCTGACCGGACCGTCACATCTCCTCCGTCACGTGACCGGGCCGTCACACCTCGTCGTTGGCGACGTATAGGTCGACTCTGGTCTGCTCGCCGGCCAGCACGGCCACGCTGGGCACCTGCGGGCGACGTCGGCGCGTCAGGACAGACATCCCCCTCGCCGCGAGGTCACGACGCGTGAGAACGGCGGGCGGGCGACGCGCGCTGGACAGCGAGACAGCACGCAGACCATGCTGTCGCCTGAATGGACAATGAAGTCGCCTGACGCACACGACCCCGGTGACGGACGCGCCTCAACAGCGCCTGTTACGAGCCCGGGAGCGAGTTGGTGGTGGAGATGCGCACGCGGCGGGACCACCTCCGAATGTCACACAAATCAGCCTTGATCACTCGAACCAGCGGCTGGAGTACGCAACAGAACACCACCAAAACTGGGAGGCGTTCTCAAGAACAAGAGCCGGATAAACCGGAGGCGGCTCACCTGCAGCTGTGAGGCAGCGTGCCATCGAGGCCGGGGACCCGTCACAACCGCCACAATTCAGGCCATGCGGGTGTGGGCACACGGTGACAGGCAGCGGGCGCCGCAGGCGACTGACGCCGCTACCAGCTGGGCAAGCCGAAGCACACCGACCAGCCGCAGCCAACGGCCAGAAACAATAACGCTGCAGTGTTAAAGCGCTGCTCGCAGCCATTCGTGCTGACCTCGGCAAACAACCATGCACAGAAGGGAGGCGTGTATTTGGACTCCATTACGAATGCCGTCGAGACCTCACGTCGCATGAAGCCTCAGCTTGTCTTTGTGGCGCGGAGAAACGAACGCGCAGCATCAATCGGCGTCAGCTTCGGTGGTTGCTAGCCCCACCCTACCACCTAAGCCGCATCCCCAAACGCAGAAACACGCGCCGACCTGCCACTGTATTATGCCGCACAGCAGTACGCGCCCAGGTCGGAGGCTGGCTTGCACATGTAACGATCCCGAACACCTGGAAGTCCCTCGAATTAACTCAACAAGCACCGCGATAAGTCATCCCGCCAGAAGGGAAATCGAGCACGTCGCATATACGCGCGATCCACATCATATCGATACACGGATTTCATTACGTCATAAGTATGTATATCATGTCGATCACACGCTCATAGTATGTATTTCGGCACCAGGCATGGCACGGCTCGAAGCACGACGCAGGACAGCCAAAATAGGAGCCAGCATTCCAACAAACGGTGGAAAAGGCGCAAAACTTTTGGTGAACGCAACTGCCTCTATATCACAGGTTGTACTACGGAGAGACCCGCACTCAAAACCAATAGATAACCACCGAAATCCGCGCACTGCCAGCTCTAAGCACCGTTAAGTAGCCGCCCACTTCAAAATAAAGGTCGGTGTCACACGGATTCCTGCATGCTCAACGCGAAAGACGGCAGCAGCAAGGTCATGAGCCACACACAGGCGATGACGGCGGTCATGCATCGCTAGTTCAACGTGTACACAGCGGGACAGAAACAGGGACGAATGTCCTCCCTAGCGGCACACAGTTGCCAAGACGAAGCTCCGCTGCGCAAACGCCTGATCTACCGACACGCTGCCGGCTGTGTCGTGGCCGTCACGAGCGCTGACGTGACGGTGTGTAAGGAGCGGTGGCTACCGCCGCCAGGACCGCGCTCGATGTCGAGGTCTACGTCTGGGAAACAGCGTCGCGTGGTGTGAAGCGCGAGAGGGGGGGGGGGGGGCGTCTTTTTAGTAGCTCAGGCAAAACCCAGAGACTATGGCGAATTTAGCGACAAAGGAAAGACGTTCCATGTCTGTCAATGTCAATTAAGATGTCAATGTCATCCGAAGACTACCTTCATTAGCTGGCAAAGGGGGGGGGGGGGGGACCAAGGGTTAGGGTCGAAACGGGATAGACGCGCAGTTAGTCAGGTTTGGAACGCGAGTGTCGGCAAGGAGCGAACCAACGGCCCGTGATCTGTCAACAAGTACCTTATGATCTCAGTGAGTGCACTACTTCATGCGAAGGAGTGACGGAGGGTCGCGCCCTGAGTCGCGCGCTCATTTGCCCCCGAGCGCGGCGGGGTTATGATTCGATCAGCCGACCGCTTCTCCCGACAAACGACCTAGAGTCACCACCCTGCGTCTATCCGCCACTTTTCCCGTTGACTACGTTAAATTACTACGGTGGGAGGTGTGCCCGATGTCCCCTTCTCCCCCGGAGGCGGGCCACACTGGCGGGCCGGCCCGTATCCCCAGGGTTACACAGCAGCGCACAGTCGGGTAAGACCGGAGGGTGGTGCGTGGCCAGGGCGCCGAGCGACATTGTCGGGATGTTCCGAAACATCGGCGGAGGCGGCACCCCACGGATCGGCGACCCCGCAATAGAAGTTGCGGCCAACTGTTACAATATGACTCTGGTGAGGAACTCGGTGAACAGGACGGCCCAATCGGCCCTGTGAACCTGCTTTAGACCGTTCACGCGCGCAGACAGACATTCAGATACGCTTTTCTGCACCAGCTCCACAAGCGATACACTCCAGGCTCGCCAGTAACGAATACTGCTCGCTCGCCGCCGGTCAAATGCCTCCGACGCAGGTGAGCGGGTGAGCCCCGACAGACAGAGCCTCCGCGCATCGCTGGCTGTGCGCCCGGCCACTGGCGACCGGCGGCCGGCGGCCGGCGACGTTCGGCCGCCGCTCATACCTCCTGGTCGCCGGCCGGCCGCGCCTCCAAGGGCACCTCCTCCGGCGGCGGCTTCTCCTGAAACCCGCGCGCGGTCAGAGCGGGTGGAGCGGCGCCGGTGGGACCGGACGGACGTCGGGGCGGCACCGCTCACTGCGGCCCGGCCTTGCCGACGCCGCTGAGGCTGCGCCGCTTTCGACGATGTGAGATACTTTTGCACTTACTGGCCCACTAAGAGTGGGCTTATATAAACGTGCATACGAAATGAAATGTACGACAACATGCGAGGAGCCATAGCAAAAAAAAAACTTACTTAACCGTCGCCGGACAAGTGTACTTTTCACCTCTGACGGAAGACGGGCCCCACTGAACCGAAAACTAACATGTTAGCACTAAACGGCCAGTGGCAATGAATGCATGGCAAAAACGGCATCAAATTAGTGCCCTTAGCATCAGCGTAAGCCACCTTTGATGATCAAACCAGACAACCGGCAACACAGCCAATTTTGTATTTTTCGTCCCAAAAAGATGTGTACTACGACAGCTATGGGAAGGGTGGCATTGTTTAGTCCATAACGCGGTGAATTATGAACTTAAGGAAGCTCATCAATTGGCATATTCGTAGCATGCCATATCATCCCAAGCGGATACAGCACTATGTGCAAATATTTCACCCCATTATCTTAAGAGCTTATATGATAAGACTACGAAACAAGCTAATCCGAATCTTTATTGGGAGTTTGAACCCGTTGACATGACATCAAGAGTATGACATCATGACGTCAAGAAATAACTCCTGACCTCCGAAGGCAGACCTTATTTTTTGGAACCAGTGGTAAAACGTTAAAAACTCAGCAATTTAACACTGGGCATCATGCATTTAGTGATACTAACGTTATTCCAGGGAAACCTCCAAGAGCCTCTGAAGTCCCCCCCCCCTCGTCCGGCGAGGGTTAATGCTGGCGTCAAGACGCTTCCATTCACAAAAAATTCCACGGCAACAACAATCTAACATAAAACACTGAGCGCCAACACAAGATTCAAACAAGCCCTCCAGCCGACTCGGTCCGCATCGCAAGCAAGGCAGCGCGCTTTCCCTCAGGCATGACGGAGCCGGCTGTGCGCGGATGCAGTGCCATCTGTCGGCCGTCTGACCTGGTTGTAGTTCTGGTACAGCTCGTGCTCGCCGGCGGGCGGCGTGTCGCTGGCCGACGACGGGTCCTGGTTGGAGCCGTACGAGCGGCGCCGAAGCTCGGGCGGACTCCGCGCCGGGCCCGCCGTCGGGTAGGAGTACACGTCGCCTGGGGGCACCGGTCAGGTCAGCGCGCCGAGGGTAGGAGACCAATACCATGGGCCATTTGTGGGGTGGTGGCCTCATAGCCCTTGAAACCCTGATGCAAATAGGACCCAGACATACTAAGATTCGCAGCATTACATCTCGCGACGCTACCTCAGAGCTCCCACGCACTAAAACGCCACGCAGTTCAGGGCCAAAAACATATCCAGAATGGAGTAATTTTACATGATCAGGGCCAGGGCACCATGGCATTCCAATGGCGAATGCCTCTCTCCCATGGCGATTTGCAGCACTGGCACACCGCCACAACGCAATGACTTCGGCTAGAACGGCGCCCACCGGCTTATACATCTGTCTTCCATTCTATCGCTTACCAAACGTCTCCCCTACCCTCCTCGGCACGATGCTTCACGCGTCTGCGCGGACCCCCAAACGCGCCGCGCGCGCACTACGGACCTGTGTCCCTGACCCGGACTTGGGGCGCGCGCTGCAGCACAACGGGCACGAACGGACGCTGCGGCGGCGACTCTTCGCCGCTGCTGACACCGCTCTCTTCTGACGGAGTCGGCTCCATGCTCTGGTGAAAGACGGGAGACGGGGGCAGCGTTAGCGGCTCTGGTGGGAGATGAGAGACGGGAGGCAACGTTAACGGCTCCGGTGGGGGACGGGAGACGGGAAAAAGAGTTAGCGGCTCTGGTGGGAGACGAGAGACGGGAGGCAACGTTAGCGACTCTGGTGAAAGACGGAAGACGGGAGACAGCGCTAGCGGCTCTGGTGGGAGACGAGAGACGGGAGGCAACGTTAGTGGCAGGGTAGCGTCGGCGGCCGACACGGACGTAACGTCACGATGCCGTGGTCCGGTAGGACGCAGCCAACAACTTACCAATAGGATGCTAACAGTCTATTCGGTCGGGTGGTGAGGGATGCAACAAAAACGAGCGTCCTGGGTATTACACCTGCGGCCCGCCTATACAAGGGTGCATAACTAATCAGTGCAAATTTGTATATAAAGTGAAAGATTTTACCCCTAAATCACTGCAAAGCCCGGCACAACTGACTGGGCGTAACACAACGTGCCCCCGCTCTGAGCGCAAAACGCTGTCCTTAACTCGGCGCCGCCAGACCGGGCGCTCTCCCACGCACCGTGTATCGGATGGGGCTGCACTGCTCGAACCAGTGGAAGAGCACGTGCGAGAGGAAGATGGCCAGCGTGGCGCTGAGGCCGATCAGCGAGTAGATGGCGATGTCGCGCATGCCGCGCCGGATGTACGAGAAGAGGAAGAGGCACAGCTGCGTCAGCACGATCGACAAGATGACGAAGTTGATGGCGGTCACGTGAATGCGCTTCTTGATGCGCGACGCGCCGTAGGCGAAGTACAGGTTGTGCTTGTCGACCAGGTGCTTCAGGATCATGTAGACCAGGCCTGGCGGGGAACGGGCGGGCGGTGAGCGCGATCCGGCCACTCAGCACGGGTTGAACGAAGGGGACACAGGCAGAGGCACAGCACACGTGTTCCTTCCGACAACGATGTGTGATGAAGTTCATCGCGCCTGGCCGACACCGGACCAACGTTGTCCGTCCATCACTACCCGTGGGAATCTCGCCGCGCTCAGACGCGGCAGCGGGGTCCACAGCCCTGCTCTGACCTCCCCAGCGAGGCGGGCGCCGCCGGCGTCTGGACGCCACTCACCGAACGGCGTGATGAGCGGACAGAGCAGCGAGTACACCACCGTCATGGCGAAGATGAGCAGCACCCAGCCGTACTGGATGCCGAACGGGAACTCCCACAGCACGGCCGCGCGTACGCTGGCGATCTCCGCCTGAGACCTGCCGGGCCGCCAGCACGGCCAGTCAACGGCGGGGCGGCGGCTCCGGCGTACACGGGGGCGAGCTGTTGCGTATGCCGAGTAGGATGGCACCAGGAGGAAGGACAGCCCGTCATTGTCAGCCTTTGTACCGATAGCGGGACTGTCGTTTCCAATAGCATGGGAGGGTCCAGGATACAATAAAAACAATTATTGACGGAGTTCAGTCCTGGTCCGGACGAGCTCCCCGCCGACGGCGCAGGCATTTCAAGGTCGCAAGGACCATGTGATAGGGAGGACAGCGCGCATGTCAGGGCTCGCAAGTCAAACTCGCATCCTGCAACAGCACGCGAAAACTCGGCCTGAGCGTCCGGCAGCGGACAACGGCGTCATTAGGGTACCCCCACTCCCACGGGCGTACAGCATCCCTGGAAGCGGAAGACGTCGCCGACATACCTGGCCATGCACATGCGCAGGGCGTACACGAACAGCTCGGGGAAGCGGATGATCTCGAGCGCGGTGCCGATGAAGGCCGACGTGATGACGTAGTTGACGAAGAAGGCGCCGTTGTCGGGCAGGAAGACGCACTCCCAGCGGTACGTCTGGTTCTGCGTCTGCACCGCCCACTCGACGAAGGCGCGCGCACTGCCGCACCGGGCGTGGCAACACGTCAGTGGTGGTCAAGGTCGCGGTGGCGAGGTGGAGGGATGGGAGAGACGAAGCAAAAGGACAGATGACGTGGAACATAGAGCAAGTCGTCCAGCGAGAGCGGACGTCCAGCTGGACGGTGTACCGCGGGTTTTACATTGTACACTAGGCTTGGATGGATGCTGGCACCGGTCTCTGCCAGTGCACCACGCAGGACATGTCAGTGACCCAGCCCTCGGCTGACACACGACACCTGACCTCTGTCGACGGTTCAACGCGGACGTTTTGCTCAGAACTCCTACGACAAACAAGCGCAAAGCACAACGCAGCTCATTTCCTCATGACTAGCTTTCTTCTCATCACTAGCTAGCTTCATAACTTTCGTCAAGCGATTCGTCACAATGCTAAAGCACATTTTGTCTCTCCGCACTGCCCACATCAGCACATCACCTCCGAGGGCTGCACATCACACCACCGCGCACACACTGGCGCGTACCTGGTGAGACCGAGCGACGGCAGAATGAGCACCATGAAGAGCAGGAAGATGAAAGTCTTGACCATGACCGAGTAGTTCTCAGAGGAGCGCGTCCAGTGGAAGAGGAAGCGGTCGGAGAAGGCCACCAGAACGGGCATCAGGGCGGCGATCGTCCAGAGCAGCAGCGTCGGCAAGAACTCCGACACCAGCGAGCTCTGTCGCAGAGGGCACGCAGGCCGTCAGGTAGACTGCAACCGTCGCTGGCGAGCTCGGACTCTACCAACGCCTGGCTAGCAGACGTGCCTTAACGAAACACGGCTACAGAAAAACAGAACAAACATGAACTGGATTAAACGTGGCCACGCACCCAAGACAAGGGCGTTGAACAACCACTAACAGCGTCAATGCAGCCAGAAGAGTTCCCCGTAAATAGCCAGCCGCCAGCCAAGGCGATCAACAGCGCGCAGCCGCCAGCCGGCCCCGGCGTCCGTCTCACCATGGCCTTGACCCGGTCCGTCAGCGACACGACGTCGACCGAGTTGACCACGATCACAGGCGTGGTCATGAAGAACAGCACCAGGAACAGGATGATGTTGATGAAGAACGAGCGGAAGTACCACCAGAAGGACGAGTGGTTCAGGTTTTGCCTGCAACAGACGGAGAGGGAAAGTGATCTTTAGTGACATGAACCGCAACAAAAATAAAACAACACCATTGGCACACACATACATAGAAAAATAGTATAAGATCCGCCAGACAAAGACATACATCTTCTACAGGACATTACGCCCAACAAACACGAACGGCAGCCCACGCAACTCGGGCCCGTCCCTGCCCATCTCAGCAGCCCCGCGCCATGGGCCCCTCACCGCCGCAACAGCCGGCGGGCAGCCCCCCCCCCCCCCCACATGAGCCGCCACCGCCCTGCGGCCAGCCGGGCCGCGCTCGGCGGGCGGCCACTGACCAGTAGATGTCCTCGGGCGGCGGCGCCACCTGCACCTGCCAGCGGTACGGCTTGAGCAGGGCGCTCATGCTGGAGGCGGGCGGGTTCTGGCGGCACCGGCAGCCCAGCAGCAGAGCGTGCTCGTTCAGCACGCGGGAGGCCATCTGAGCAGAGGGCGGCGCAGGTGAGAGCAGGGGAGCCGCGCCGGGGTCAGGGGTTACGTCTAACAGAGAAACCACTCTCTATTTACGCGACGTAACCATGAGGCCCAGGAACACACGGGCAGGGAGATGTAGAAGGTGACAGGGGGACTGACAAGATCGACCGGGGAATGAAAGACCGAGTTACGTGCGATGAAAATAGGACTGGACCTAGTTACGTTTGGTAAAAATATGATAACAGCACAACAGCACAACACATGCTAGTCAGAACCCTGCCATCTTACTGTGCCTTAAAACTAAAACCGTCGAGGCTGAGAAACAGGTAAGACAGCACATCGCCAGTATCCACTGATTGTCTGATGACCACGAACGTCACAAAAGTACGTTGCAAATTCTATCAACAACACAACTCCACTTCCACCTTACACTGCACCATATCCTGCCAACGTGTCACCCCCCCCCCCCCTGTCTGAACCAAAGTCGGCTCCCCGCCGTGAACGCTCGTCGGGCGTGGGCAGCTCACCTCCTTGCTCCTGAAGGTGATGAAGGCGATGCCGAGCGGCTGGTTGAGGGCGGTGGCCTTCTCGATCTCCACCTGGCGGCTCAGCCTGCTCTCCTCGCGCGAGTAGTGCTGGATGGCGTCCACCTGCGCCCCGCGTCACAGGTCACAGGTCACGGCTTAACGAGGTCAGGCCACGGCTCAGTGAGGTCGGGTCACGGGCCAGAAGGGTCAGGTCACCATCACTGAGGTCAGGTCACCATCAGTGAGGTCGGGTAACGGGATAACGAGGTCAGATCACAGGCCAGAGGTCAGGTCACGGCCAGTGAGGCCGGGTCACGGGCCAGAGGTCCGGTCACGACTCAGCGAGGTCAGGTAACGGTCAATGAGGTCGGGTCACGGTTCTGCGAGGTTAGGTCACGGGCCAGTGAGGTCAGGCCATGGGCCAAAGAGGCCAGGCAACAGCCCAGTGAGGTCAAGTCACGAGTTGGAGAGGTCAGATCAAGGGTCAGCGAGGTCAGGTCACGGGTAATCAAGATCAGGTCGCGGATCAGTAAGGTCAGGCCAGAGGTCAGTGAGGTCAGGCCACAGGTCAGTAAGGTCAGGTCACGGGCCAGTGAGGTCACGGTCACAGACCAGCCGGGTAACGGCTCAGCCAGGTCACGGTCTAGCGAGGTCACGGTCACAGTCGGATTTCCACAGTAGCCGCCGCGACCCAATGAGGAGCGCCACCAATGATACGCAGGCTGACATACGATGCAAATAAAATGACACGGTGAGCGGGATCGATTAAGTGGATGCACGCAAGTGGCAACTACTGCAGCTGTGGTTGTAACACCAGCCCGGATTGCGTCAGCAGACAGCTGGCATCACAGCCTACAGCGAACGACTGAATGTTCTACGGCCTGCGGTGGGTTTAAGAAGCCCTCCGAGCATAAAACAGTGTATAATTCAGCGCGAGTGCTAATATGCGGCAAATAAGTTATTAGAGCTTGGCGATCTCCGCGTGAGCATTATTAATGAATCAGCGCTAGGATTTCGTCGCGGTTGCTTACAAACCCGCCATTCGGTACCACGCCAGCCATACAGGCTCAGCACGGTCGCCACGTGAGCGGGCTGGCTGGGGTCGCTGTCGGGCCTGTCCAGCCGCCCTCACCTCCTGCGGGGAGGACGGGGGCTGGCCGAGGCGGCCGGGGGCGGAGCAGACGGACCGGGACCGGAGCGGTGCCAGCACCGGCGTGGGGTCGGAGTCGGGAGAGGGTGGGAGCAGTGCCGCTGCCGAGCTGCTCTCGTCAGGAGGCGCGACCAGCTCCTGCGCCGGCCGAGGCGGGTCAGAGGACAGGAGACACAGATGAGGAAACGGTCAACGCGACTTGGCAGGCACGGGTGAAGGACAAGGGCAAGAGGCTGCTGATGAACATCAGGCCTAGACTACGTTCTTGTTTGCAGACTGTAATACACGCTGAAAGCACTTTTGTGATGAGAACGAAGATGACCAAGTGCATGTCAATAAATATATTTAAGGCATTTGATGATGATTTGGGCTTTGGGGCGCACCGACTTCGTTGGTCATATGGCGCCCATGTTTTTGAAACAGGCCAAGATGATCAACGATTTTTCGGCCTGAATGAGGCCCGTTGATCATTTCCGCTGGTATGAAAAATCCGAAATACGACCACTGGCATGCAGCTAATCGCCAGCGTTCCGATCACAATGTCTACAATCGTGCCAGAGACCCGATATACACTCAGAATGAACTTTTGTCTAAGACGCGACATACGTGACGACTTATGTGATCAAACTATGTGCACAAAATCAAACAAGATGGCAGGATGTTGCTTGGCAACCAACCACAGCGAAGAAACGCGCGACACCTTTGACTAATCTGTCAACTTCGTGCAGAAATCTCAACAGCTGATCGAACTGGAACAATCGAACGCGACAAAAGCAACTCTGTATCCGCCGCAACGCGAGACTGGCGCCATGCCCACGTAGTGCAGGTTCCTTCCAAACGGGTCTCCCACCACAGGCCTCAGCCTCGCCAGAGGACACCAGGCCCCAGCGCGGCCCCGCCAGCCGACGCGGCACGGCCAGATCGGCACTGAGCGCCGGTACACGGCGGCGGCTGCAGCGCCGCGCCGAAGTACCTCGACGCAGCCGCAGAGGGAGCAGCAGCAGCAGAAGTGGCCGCAGACGTACGGCCGGATAGCCAGCCGGTCGCCGGTGCTGGCCAGGTACTCGTCGGCGTACAGCCGCGCCTGGAACATGGCGTCCCGCTGCTGGTCCAGCTCCATCAGCCGGCTGATGTTGTAGGAAAACTGGATGTCCTGCAGGCCCACCATCGGGTACGCCTCCCTGCGGCGCACGCGGCAGTGGCGCGGGGTAACGGGACGCGTCAACAGCCGACACACAAACACAGAACACGACAGCAACGGTAGTCATTGTTTGGATACGCTTGCTCGCACGCTTGCCAACGCTTCCACGGATCGGACACTCGAGCAAAGGTCGCCCAGGGAGCTTAATACCTCCTGCGCAAATGACCAGGCAATAGGGTTCCATCGTACAGGGCAACTCCAACGGTTCACAAACTACCTACAAGCACGGCGCCTTCCTCGAGAGACGCTTTCAACACCCTGAACTTCTCCGTGACAGTCCGTTACGGCCGCCGCGCCCCGGGGCTGCGGGCCGGGGCGCCGCGCCACTGCCATCGCGCCTCACTGGAAGTGCTTGAGCAGGCTGTTGCGGTTGCACGCCTGGCGCGGGATGCTGGTGATCATGAGCGTGCGCGACACGGCAGACGTGTCGTCGCCGCTGATGTTCAGCTGCGACGAGAAGCGGCGCATGATGTACACGCCCAGCGGCAGGAACAGCACCGACAGGCTGACGTGCAGCCACAGCCAGGCCGAGCTGGCGGCGACAGGTGGCGGCATGAGACGCACGCGCCGAGTGCCGATTGCCGCGGTCTGGTCAACAAGTGCAGGCGCGGCGGACCGTCCTTCAAAAGCGCAACACTCGCATCGGGGTTTTCATGATCAGGGTTGCAGCAGTACTGCCGACGATCGAGGAGCCTATTATTTATATAAATTGGGTTGAGCCCATCATAGCCCTGCATCAGAGCGGCGTGTCCGCCAGCGCCAATTGCAAAACTTCCCCACAGCCTCAGCACAATGCAAATTCCCGCAGGGCATGTGACATTCAAAATCAAATAGCATCTTTCATAAACTGTAGGCCACACAAATGAACCTACATACGCGTCATGGGCGGAACAAAGCTATCACGACATGCTCCGTGCGCTTCAACACCGTCCATCAGTTAACGATAGGCCGAAGCCGGCTGCGCGGCGGCCACGTACGATGGGTCGAGGTTGGTAATGGTCGTATGGCCGAAGTCCTTCTCCTTGCCCTCCAGCTTGCCCTGGAAGTTGACGGGCAGCACGATGCCGATGGAGATGAGGGTGACGATGGAGAGGTAGACCATGATGTGCCGCTGGAACGACAGGTACTGCACCGCATCCGAGCCGCACTTGCGCAGGATATCGTCATCCCTGCCGGGCGCAGGCGGGACACGTAAGGTTTCGCGCAGCGCACCTCGTCACTTGGTCCGTGACAGGCCACTGCAACGGCCAGGTAAGCACCGCGCCTTAGCGGTGTCGGCTGGGAATCGAACCCAAGCCTGCCAAGTACAAATATGGCATTCTCCCCATTAAGCCACCCAGAGAGTCACTTGCGCAGTTATTATCAACAACGTTCGCCAACCATTCTGATGCCACTGACATAAAATACGGTGTCACAATTCAAAGCGCGGTTGTTGCGTCAGTCACGGAAAGACTTGTGTGAAGAGCAGGCCAAGCGACCACAGGAAGGCACAACCTCAGCAGCTACCACACCGCCCATTCCAAACAAAAGGGAGGAAGTAATGAACATAACCACCGTAGCGCAACATACCAACAGGTGGTAACGGACAGCAAAGACACCGCGCCCGAATGACACCACGCTGAGTGCGGAGCAGCCGCGGGGGGATCAACAGGCGACAGGAGTGACAGCACCCGCACACGCACGCCCACAGCGTACTTGATTTTGAATATGGCGACAATCCAGGAGAAGAAGCCCCGGTCGACCAGGATGCTGGAGTCCATGTTGTGGAAGGACTCGTCGTTCATCCGCAACCGGCCCATGGCCTCCTCGTTGCCGTAGAAGAGTTGCGTCCATCTGCAGGGTGAAGTCTGATCAGCATGGCCCACAATGTGAAAAATCAGGCCTTCACATTTACCCACGAGAAAGGATTAGACGTTTTGTAAGTACACATTTATACTTACGGAGATTTGCAATGAAACGAATTTGTGCACCCTCTCAAGAAAGCACCACTTGACATAGCTTTCAAAAACGAGCTCGTATCGTCAGCAACGAAAAGCCGTCCGCGTTGAAGTACATACATTCGCCATTGTGAGACACTTCCCGTCAAAAAAACATGCCAAAAATGGGCCGTCACCAATGTTTACTTACACAGCACTCGGGAGCCCACCAAAATAACTCCCATTACGACGGCGGCTAGCATGGGGCGTTGACTTGTTTAACACGCGGCGCAGCCACACAGCACCACCACCACACGGCCCGAAAAGGGACGGAAAATGTCCACCACAGCGTAAAGGGACAGGCGGACGTCACTTGCCCCATTTGACCAGACCACCCAGAACCGGCGTGTCTGCCCACACACGACCACGAGCAGGAGGGCAAGCGCGAGACCAGCCGCGCGCCACGAGGTCGCACAGACACGCATTGCCCAGAATCTCCGGCCATTTGCCGCCGGTCAAGAGGGCAGAACTCCGGTCAGATCATGCGTGTCAGTCAGTTCAAAACGGACAGGGTGCGGGAGAAAACACAAGTAGAGAGTATGGGACGAATGAGCAGAGAAAGAGCGGGGGGGGGGGGGAGGCAATTGCAGGCAACATAAAACGAGAAAGCGACAAATAGCGAGAACGCGCGAGCACGCAAGAGAGCACCCAGCTTCAGGCTCACGTGGTGTCAGACCACCGCCCTGCGCCCCGCTCCTCCACGACACACCTGGCAGGCACCCCCCCCCCCTCCCCACACACACCGACCGCGCGCGCCCGGAGACCCACAAGTCACCAGGCGGGTCACGTGACAGCAGGCGGCAAGGCGGCCCCGCCCACAAGCTACGTACATGTTGTAGGTGCCCTTGGAGAAGGGGTTAAGTAGCATTCTGTAAACAGCGGCGGGCGCGACGTCAGCGGGTGCGGGGGAGGGGAGGGTAAGGGAGGGGGCGGGGCAAGCCGGTCACATGCGGTGCAGTCGAGTTCGTGCATCATCGGCTACGTGAGTCCCACTAAAGCGTGGATGACTGACAGCCACACGCACACGCACGCACACGCAGGTGCGTGACGTCCCGAAGCTCACACGCATACGCGCACGCGCACGCACACGCACACGCACACGCACACGCACACGCACGCGCAGGCACACTCACAGGCGGAACGGGCGGGAGGTAATTGGGGGCGGCGGGGCCCGGTTCGGTTGGGCGCAGCTGGGCTGGGCGGCGGACCTGTGCACAGGTGTGATGGGGTGAGCTCACAGAGGTGGACGACAGCTGAGCGGGGACCGAGACAGACCGACACGCGCCGACCGCCGTCAAAACAGACCTGTGTGGACCGGCGGGGGGGGGGGCACATCTACTGCGAGTGGTCACGGCACAAAGGGGAAGGGGGTGGGCTGGGGTGAGGGGTGATGGTGGGGGTACGGGTGTGGTGAGGTTGGGTGGAAACATGCAATGCATTTGCAACTAGGGTTGGCATTTTACGTTGCTAAAACTAGTTTCTATCACTTTCTGGCATCCATTGAAATTGGTATTAACTGGCATGACCTTGAAAACCTGGAACGGTCCAGCTGTCATGAACTTTATGCCCACATCTTTTTTGTCATAACTTTATTCCAATATTCTCATATGCGTTATTTCCAATCTATGCTTTTATTCCCACCGGCATATTTTCTATCGATTCGAAAGCTAGTTAAGTTTCAAGATTTACATCGGTTTATTTTCGTAGAATAGGTTCAGGGAAAAAGCAAGGGAAATGGCTAAAGCTATCACCAAAATATAAAACAATCAAAACAGAAACGCAGGCATCGCTTCCATATTTGCCACACTATCCTGTAAAAAATTTGGGGGGGAAGGGGGCTAGATCCTTTTTAACTGAATAGATAGCTACGCTCCTGTTCTAAAAAGCAGCAACAGCTCACTTACGCAGCAGCAAGGTCAAAATACATGACGTATGCCTCAATTGGTACAAATATTGGCATTTAAACCCTATACTCTGCAGCCAGTAACCATGGTCTGAGGGGTCCGTGACTGGCACTTCGGCAACCAACCGCAATGTGCTCTCCCTGCGACCTGAATTTATCACCCAGTATAGCACACGTGAAACATCATGCAAACAAACTGTTTGGACAATGAGCACGACAATGCCAGCCATATCCCCAAAGGTATGAGATGATGCATAACCTTCGATCACAAATGTCACTACCCATTGGCGTTGCGTTTTTGCCAGTGTGATGGAATAGGTAGTCTGAAATAAACCCAAGTCAAATAGACCAAGGGAAGTTCAAAAAATACACCTTACATGCTGGGAGCCTTACATTTCAGTTTACACCATATGTTTGATAGACTTTGCCATCATGCATTTACATCAGGCATGAGTACAATGCCGGCTTCGGCTTCGGCTTGGCGAAGACACCGTTTTCCCCCAATGACTAAGGGGCTTTGTCGTGATTTCTGTTCACAGCAATCGTGAGCTTACTTCGTAAAAATGCTCTGCTTGCTCTGTCGCCCGAATGTACCATATAGCATAAACGGATGCAATACATACATGGCTGAAAGACAAAACCATCCGGCCGTTCTGATGACCACGCAACACCTAGCTGTAAGGAACTAACCGTCCGCAATGTTGTGTAAGCAAAAACTAGCACACCACACGAAGACGACGTCCGAAAAATCATCCACCCATAATGCTAACACCTTGTCTCGATCACTCCGCAATACCCTCACAACATTTCCCCATCCCATATCATTTCAGCAGACGCGAAAATGGTTTTGATTCCACAAAAGAACGCTGTTCACTAGACTTAGGTTTGGCCCCAGCTTCGTCAACCTCAACTGATGATGGGTTTGGCCTCGGTTTCGCGTTTCCTACGTTCAAGGCGACGGAATTTGGCCCCGGTTTCGCGTTTTCAAAGTTCGAGGTCATTGGCTTCGTATTCGGGTTTGCGTTTTAAAAATACGAAACCTCTGGCTTCGGCTTCAGTTGCACAATTTTTCACTTCGCAGCCAACGGCTTCAACGTCTGCTTAATGTCACGGCCTTGAGCTCGAATCCATTCCGAATCCAGAATCCCAAAAATCATTGACATATATATATATATATATATATATATATACATAATATAGTTACAGTCATATAGATATGTAGATATACATATATCGCATTGCTGCCATTACTTACAGTACAATGCAAACACAACGTAAATGTTTGTATCATAAGGCCAAGCAAGTTTAAATTGTACAATAACACGTAAGTTGTCGTATATACTCATGAATCGTGTCTGTTACAGTGCGTGAGAGTAATGAATCCTGGAGGTACACCTGTGGCCCACTGTTACACTCATGCGTTATGTCTGACATTAGGTCGAAAAGCGGGAGCTGAGGCCGACTGGGGACTGCACTGGTTTTCTTGTAGCCAGGACTTAACAGGTATAGTACCACGAGGTTGAAAAAATACATATCGCGTGCCCGTTGCAACGTTCGTCAAGATTTTATGCTCTTCTCACTACATCAGCGTAAACATCAGTCCATTCGTTAATTTTTTCATAGTATTCTGACAAAGTGCAATTCTTGTTCACGAATTTCTGTTTTTTTTTAATTTCATGTTGTTTCAGTCAACCCAAATAACTTCCGATACCTTGTAACGTCAACGCGCTTTTACCAGTTCTTGCCAGTGTTTGCCACTAATAGTTTCCGCCAGGCGATTTGACGCGGTAAACGGCGGCTTGACGAAACTGCGGTTACCACCAGCCAGCCCAGTCAGCACCGAAGGGCCGGTGTCGGGTCTCCCGCGGACACTGCTTCGGTGCACCGCCCGGACAGCCCGTGCATCCCGATGCACCGGCCCGCCGTGTGCACAGCGACACAGCTGGTGACGACCACTCCGGTCCAGACACGTGGGCCGGGTGACCCTGCAGCCCCCCCCCCGTCCGACACACACAGGGCGCCGTCCGGCAGCCGTGACCCACCTGCGCTCGTTCTTGTGCACCAGAGCCAGTCGGCCGTAGTTCCAGGCGCTCTTACGCAGCAGGGAGAATAGCAGGATCAGGCCCTGGAGACAACGAAGGGCGCGATTACAGGTGGCGGTGGGGGGCGCGCACCGCTGGCTCAGGTGCGGAACAACACCACAAATGGGCGTCGTCGTCAAACGGCACCGTTTTAGGAGCGGGACAACACCACACATCGACGCGGTTGTCGAACGACACCGTTTTAGGCGTGAAACAACACCACACATCGACGCGGTTGCCAAACGACACCGTTTTAGGCGCGGAACAACACCACACATCGACGCGGTTGTCGAACGACACCGTTTTAGGCGCGAAACAACACCACACATCGACGCGGTTGTCGAACGACGCCGTTTCAGATAAGGACGGTACAGATCAAGACTGTTTGCTCGCTTTGCTGCGGGAGCGAGGGATGGCGATTGCCACTAATGTGCAGACAAAGGCTAGGCGCACATTTTTAAGGCGCTGTCTTGCCGCATCACAAAATTCGAAAACCATTCCCCATGCTCCAGTGACCCCGGATGGCCAATAGCACGGCCTATTTCAATGTGATTTATGAGCTTGAGGGCCACAAAATCAGCCTACGAATTAGCACCTGCCATCCTGGTCACATCGACCGACCCGGTCGATATGATCCCCATTGACCCACCCGACCATGCAGCCCGACCAAACGAGGCGCCGATGCGCCCAACTGACGTGGCCCGGTACCGCGCATTACACGGCGAAAATGCCATTCGATGCGCAAGGCGCGTGGAAAATCAAAGTGTGTTCCCGGGGGGGACTGATCGCCGGGGCGCACAAAATGTTCCTACCAACTTAGCCTGGAAAGCTTCCAGTGGCCATTTTTCGTCCAATCACAGAGCGCGGAACAAATGGGGTCGCCTCTGGAACCTCAAACGGCGGCTAAAGAGCACAGCTTGCCATAAGCACGACAGAAAACTAAGAACAAAAATACATAAGAACGAACAGAAACAGCACAAGGGTAACTACGCGCTTCAGTAACTACTACAGCGCCTTTAATACGCCCTCGGGTAGGGTGGGCATCAATCTGGCCTTATCCCGCTGAGGTTTTGCCAGTACAACTCGCGAATGACGCGGAAAACCGCGCCAGACTTTGTCTAGGTACAAACAATTTAACAGACGATGTTTTTGTATAAAACGGTGCATGTACCTTATAAAGTCGCTGGCCTGTGGCAGGTAAAAGTCATGCCATGGTTGTCAGCGAATGGAATTCCTCGGTAGTCTTGCAACCTGATGTGGAAACTGAGTGGAAGCCGAAGTCATACAATTTGATATGGCTTTTAAGTCAGTCAAACGATTTTAATTAGGATTAAGACTAATTTCGTTGCACTTAGGCAAAGTATAAAGGTTAGGCCAAGGCCAGGGCCAAACCACTCTTTCAATGGAAAACTGGTCTTAAGAGGTAGCTTTCAACGATCATTTGGATATCCTTGGTCACAAGAACGTCGTCCGATTCCTATTTGAAATTCGTGGAGGTCAAAGGAAGTTACTGACCTAAACTGACATTGGACAACTTTTTGCTTTCAGAAACATGTCGCCTGAGATAGCTCTTGACCTTGGTTGTAGCTTCAAATATCAAAATAACCTCGAAGAGCTTTGGCCATTTTCAGCTTTTTAAGGCCAAGTGTAGCCACTGATCTGATCTGAGCACAAATCACATTTTTACTGCAACATGCATCGAGGTCAAAGCTGGCTGAGTGAGGAGGTTTTAGGGCACTTCGAAACGTATCTCGAGTATCTCGCGTATGTAACCCGAAAGTCACGACCCAGGAACTACACAATTTGATAAAAATGAGTTCATATACAACTCTGCGTGCTTGTGAGTTTGGTGCGTCCATCTCTCTTGATTCTGAGATCTCAGGATGAGCAAACTGCTCCCTCCTCTCCCACCCGGGCGCTTCACAAGATTTAACCGGCCATCCCTCTCGTGTGTTAATGATGTTTTGTGGAAGAAGACAAGCAGCGATGTGCATTGCGAGCAACAGCAGTGAAACATCAATTGTCGCACCCTTCTCGCGTATTAAGGTTTTGTGGAGGGAGACAAGCAATAATGTGCATTGCGATCAACAGCAAGTCAACATAAAATGTCGCGACAAAAAGCCGCCCCATTCCAAAGTCACATTTTGATATATCCTCCACAACATCAATTTAACGATCAACGATCTTAGTTTACGAACAGAGAATGACTCATTTATGACAGGCCGAATGCGACATGATGGGGATAGCCTACAATGTTTATGGAACTTATAAACATCAGGATCTAATGCAATCAGACGTTAACCAACGGCCGATCAACGCTCGTTCATGTCGATTTCTACGGCGCTAATCGCTGTTTTCTTACTTGTTTCTCACATGGCCACGACCAGACTTGGCACCTAGACAGGCCAAAGACCAACCTAAGATGAGGCTTAGTACGCACGTCATATGTTTATCGGTAAACCGCGTCTTTCATTTCTAACGCTATATGTATGTTTGAAAACTGTATTTTGTTCGCGGTACAGTACGTGAACAGCGACATTTTCACATTGTGGGTACTATGTTTTTGTTTTGCGCTCCAAAACGCGGCGCAATTTCAGAATGTTTATCGTTCAACAAAGAGTAAAAAGCAGATTCTGTCAGTCTGGTGAAACTCGGCATGATGTCCCGTTTATATTTTGTCGTCGGGTCCATTCGATCGGACCGCACGTCAAACACGCACGTGACGTCATGCTGAGCCCACACCATCAGGGCCATTACGAAAACACCCACAGTGCTCCACCCCTGCACAGCAACGGTGGGTGGTGACCCCCTGTAAGCTCTCAGACAGCATTGCGGAACTCGACAGAAAGCCGACTCCACCGGAAGCGCGCACCCTCTGCAGAGACAGGCGCGATCGGGTTCATTTGGAGACGCGCACGGGCTATCTACAAACCCGCCCGATGAAATGCGAGCCCATCCCCGAAGACTCACACGAGGCCAGCCGGCGCCGGACACGCGGCCGGTACTGGCTCAGCGCTCACAGCTGCAGCGAGATACGGTGCGGCGCAGCGGTGTTCGGCTGACCTCTCGTTGGGCGGCGCCCGACCGCGCAGTCGAAACCAATCGAAGACCTTTCATACACAACAGCTCTTTCGGAGCAGAATTACCCAGTTGGCAACCCTCTTAACCCGGCAAGGACCGGCGGAGGGGGGGGGGGGGGGGGTAAAATATGCCCCACTGTCCAACATTCGCGATAATTCAAAATTGCCTCGATATCGTTGCAAATTTGTTAGAAGCTGTCACTCACTACGCCTTGTGCCAAAATAATAACCATGCTACCATAACAGATCAAGCGTGACGCACGTCACAATGCTGCCGTGTTTGACTGATTTTTCAAAAGCGCATAGTCGAAGACAAACTGTCACGGGAGTCGCACGAAAGAACGCATTTTATATCTGTCAACAGGAAATGTGAACCAATTTGTCCATCATTCATAGATCTTGTCCATGAATTGTCATTGACAAAAAGCACAATCAATATTTTTTGGCCCCAAGACCCAAAATTATGAAAACAAGAAAAGGTGTCCTACATACAACTATGAAGGATGCCTGTACCAGACTTCAAACAATTTTCCGGAACAATGACTAGGTTACTGCTTGAAATGCATCACAGAGCACGTTGCCCGAGCCCAGGTCGGCCCGCGCACACGGCGGCGGGCGGCGGGGCTCAAGTCTGCCGCGGCGGCACGATGACGGGGTGGCTGAGGCCGCTTATCAGTTTCACAAGCAAACCGACGACCACGTGACTGGCGGTGGGGTTGGAGGGTACCAGACTGCGCTGTCGGCAGGACTGCACCGTCGAAAACAACGCGAAAAGTCGATCCAACCGCTTACTCACCGCCGGGGTCATCCAGTTGATCATGACCTGGGACGGCTTATGAACAAGCGCTCACGTGCCTGATGCCCTAAATTGCGGCTAAGCTCTCCCATTTCGCGTTTACATGGCTCGAATATGACGGAAATATATAGACCGGAATAGACACATAGACCACGGCTTCAGGTCTCATGTGCAAGGCACGTAGCCTTGGCTCTAGGTCTTGGCTCTAGGTGCGGCGCGCAACAGTCGACACCTTCCTTTGTAGCACGTTTGATCACGGCACGATGATTTCATACCATGAGATACGCTTCTAAATAAACTGCGTTGTGGGAGCGGTAAAATGTCGCAAAGTAACATTTTAATAATTCGACCGTGGCCTGTGAGCCCGTGATATCACACACTTCAACTTAAGTTTTTGTGTGGTCTTAGACCACACACTACGGCGCCATTGATTGCAATTCGAATTTTTGAATTCGGCCCCGCCCTTCTTGAGATCAGTAGGGGAGGGGGGGGGGGGGGTCAAATTTGCGCCCATTCACAGTGGTGAGCGGGAGCTCAATGACATTTCTCCCGCAGGGTCGGATACTTCTAATCGAAATCCGGGCTTTTCCGGAGCATTTCGAGCAAACTGGTATGCTAATAAAATCGTACGCGTCTGATGTAACAAGAAGTGAGAAGTAAGAAACAGATGGGAAATTCCCTTCAATAGGTTAATCGGGGGGCAAAATACTCCCGCCAAGACGACACTTTTCGATCGCATGAATCCCGAGGGCCTTTCGCGAGCTGGGCTCGCGGACGATTTCGCCCCGAAATGGTACAGCGCGGGTCGGTGCACGGCGATCCACGCCAACCTCACCTCCCGCCCTCGTCTCGTCTGGCATCTTAAACCCACCATACGCTCCGGCCCTGCACGCGCTCGGTTCACCCACCAGCCAGCCGAGGACGTTGGCGCCCAGGTTGAGCGGCACGCCCTCGTAGCCGCCGTAGATCATGAAGGTGGTGTTGTGCCGGATGTACTGGTTGCAGGTGATGTTGTTGCTGAGCCAGTCGGCGGGCGCCGCCGTCACGTTGTCCGTGACGAGGTCGAGCTCCGGGGAGGCGGTGGCGGCGGCCATGGCCGGCGGGCGCGGGCCGAGCGACGACCCCTGGCGGCGGCGGACCGCGGCGTGAGAATCGGGCGGGGGGGGGGGGGGGGGGGCTGGGGCGGTGCACACCGGCACATCGACACTCGTGACCAATGTACAGTGAAAACATAACGCCGCGCTCTAGCCGGGGCATCACGTACGTGTAGCCGACCGGAATAAATAAAAGCGGCCTAGGAAAAAAAACGCCAGCCCTTAAAATTTTGACTCTGGCTTGCATCAAAATGCGCTAGCTTTGCACTCCCAAAACCGTTGCGGCGAGAACGTGGCCCCTTCACTCTCAGGGTTCAGTGTCGACAGTTCTGTTCCAGCGCGGAGCAAACAGCGCCAGCAAAGGAGCAGCGCGACTAGGTGCCTTCCGACGGCCAATGGGAACAGATGCGAGATAAGCGAACGCGCTCAGGAATGTGGATATACAGTGCGTGACGAAGGTTCACAGGAGGCCCGCAGAATACGCAGCGTTCGGGAAAGGACGTAATGCAGACCATCGCAGCCACGGCTGCACAACTGCCGCACGTCATAAGCACCATCATCACAGGACAGCACGTACGCTGTCAAGTCAGCCGCCGCTCTGTGCACGGCTCGGCGCGGACAAGGGTAACCAAATGCAGTGGAGCGAGCAGCGGCCCCGCCACAGTCGCAGCGCGTCGCCACCATTGCACTCGGACCGCGCACGACGCGCCGCGACCCGTCCCCGGCGTGCGGACCACGACGGCCAGCGCCGCCCCGTCAGGGGCCATAAACATCTGCCGCCAGCCGTCACCGGTCGGACGCTAGAGTCCGGCGTCACGGCGTCACGGCGTCACTGGGACGCGGCCCGCCGCCCGCCCGTCACCGCAGGTCACGGCCGGGCCCTGCGGCCGGCACGTCACGCTCGAGGGAGGGGGCGACCCAGACCTTCAGCCAGCGAGCCCGCCTGTCACGCTGCCGGGCTGCGTCGCTGACACTGCGCCGCTGACGTGGCAGCGCCGGCCGTATCTAAAATGCGGTGCGTTTTATGGCGTGGCGGACGGCTGCGTGCGGAATAATGGGATATCGTGCGGGCGTCCAGATAACGACGGACCCGTCGGAAACTGCAGCTAGGTCTTAAACAGCAACCCCCAATCTGACGTCACCTGGTAGTTGTTAGCACGAGAATGTCGGCTCAGTGGCGAATAAAAATTACAACGCGCTGACGTTTGCCGAAACATCACATCACTCTTTCTCATTGCCAGATTTCCCAAATCTCACATCGCCAACTTACGATGCTCTGAGCGTGATTGTCATGAATAGGTCATTGGGAACACTGACCACGTGGCCAGTTTACCATATGTTTTGCTCGTTCTTTTGTGATGCCATGGCCTTTTGTATCACCTCCGCATTGATACCTACCATTGGTATGTACATACATACATACATATATAAGTTGCATTGATATATCCATTGCTCCTGAACAACAGCTAGTGGGGCATACAAAGTAAATGACGGGGACGAACTGTTAAAAACATGATACAGACCAAGAGCTCCCTTTTCACCGGCTGCCAAAAACATAGACAGTTGAATGGAGGGAAATGCATTACACCAAGGGAACAGGACAAAAAATACATCATCGACCGCGCCCACCTCTGCCGTGGCCTCTCCCAAATCGAGTGGTTGTGAGTGAAATCTACAACACGCGGTCTGACCAGCAGCGGCCCGGCTTACCACACCCAGGTGGTAACAGCTCGAGGTCTGCCGCCTGACCAACACGAAAAACAATGTGACACGATGGGGATTAGCCACCGGCCAACGACAATAGTTTCACCACATGCGGTGGCGCATATTGCTGGTGCCACCTGGTATGTTGGTGTCACCCGTTCCTAATTTCATATTCGATGTAGTAAAAAAAAAAAAATATCAGGGAGCTACACAAATGTCAGTTACAGCCTCTAGCTGCACCAGTTTTTACAGCTAAAGGTTAGGGTCAGGACAGGACCTGCAATTGGACTCTACCTGGTGTGGTCAAACTGCGTTTTTGTCACCTTATGTAGCACATCTGGAGTAGATGATGCAGCCAGGTGATCTGGTTTGATTCAGATTATGACACGACTTATTTCTAAAGTGGCAATGAAAGTTCACCTGAGTTCACACCTTGACCTACCATGACCTTAAACAACTTAACTTCAGCCTTCAGATATGATGATGCACATGCAGAAGTTCAATTGAGATCGCTGGGTGAATATAACTGCCAGGACTGATGGGCTGGAGTACTTCAAATTCTGAGAGTACAATCTAATTATGATACACTGCATGGAGACAACACAAGGGGAACAAGAAACTGAACCAGTTTCACCAAATTGCACACAAATTACAAAGTGGTGGGCAGACCTCCTTCCAAACCTGGTCACATCTACTGTATTTTTACTGTCTTTTGTATTTAGACAAGAATAAAGCTTCATTTCATGCTCTTATTATGCTAGCTATGACTTATGAAGAGCCTTTATGAACCAATTTGGTGATTTGGAAGAACATGACATGATGTGAGTTCTAGAGATAGCAATAGATAGCTCCTTGCTCTATTCTTGTAATAAGGTCTATTATGCACATGGACATGCTTGATAACAGACAACAGTCTGCTGTTGTCAAACAAACACATTTTCCTAGCAAAGGCTATGGCAACATGTCAACCAGCTAAAGTAAGCCTCAGTCATTTAAGATAGTACCTGGATTTTCAAGAGTTAAAATGTAAGGAAATGTATGTAAAAATGTAGCATGAGGATATAGAATCCACACCAATGCATAAGTGAATGGACACTGAAAGCAACACCACAACTTGGGAGCTAAGCTGCAGGTGGTTCAGGACTATTTCAATGGTGTGTGACAAACCATTTTGTCCTGATAAAGTGGTCAGTTATGAACAAGATCATATGTAGGTTCAGCTATGACTAATGCATTGTGATAAAATGGATTGATTTTTCTTTAAATCATTGAAAGCACACCATTCATTGGTGTCCTTAGCTTCCAGCAAAGAAATAATACATCACAGAACATGTCATGCCTGAACTGGGCTTTGTTTCTTTCATTTGTTTGTCTACCTGGTCTGTATTGGGCTGGCTAACTGTATCCCTCACTAAGACAGTGTTTCAATAATCAGGTACTTGGTGACAGGAAATCAACATCCTTCATTCTACCTTACACCTGCTGGTGCAATGACATTGCTATCTGTTGCAATGTTGTCTGTATCTTTGCTGCTATCTGTCCGTATTTGCTATTGCAAATGCTATCTTGCACTCTGGACCTGCTTTGTGGGACTGTTAAATGTTCTGACGTCTCCAGACATATTGGCAGTGACACTACAGAGATGGGCTCATCGTAGGTAACCTGTTATTACCATATTTATTTACCTATATCACCATTTTCATTTACCTGTGAGGAGTTCATTTATTCTGCAGCTAATATTTCAGACAACACATAAATACAAATGGATACAAATGATTTCAAAATATAATATTTACATTCATGAATAAACATGTTAAGAACATTTCAAAACAATATCATATGAACTGGTTCATACCAGCTATTTCAACCAAAGCCATCACATATCATAACCATTTATTGGCTTCAACCCACAAACCCTGGCTGTCAGTTAAGTTGGTAAGATACATTTGCCCATAAAGCAGACATATACAGATGGGTGGATGAGCTTATTACCGAGTTGAAGAAATATTAACTTGTGATCTGTTTTGCCTATGCAATGCCACAGGGATAATGTTGTAGCATTCCAGAGGCAGAGAGCTGCTGCTCTCTCCAAATTTCATAAACTATAAACCTGTCTCAGAGCTTGCTCTCAAGTCTAAGGATTCCTGTCATGCAAGTGCGAAGTTGGAAAAATCAATCTATCAGCAAGTCATACCAACATTGACATTTAACATTTGGGACAAAGCAATATGGCCCAGCAGACCAATGTATGCATGACATATTTAAGTTTTACTGATGCCTGTACTGGTTGGGGTTGAAAGCTGGGTCGGTACACACATGGGTGTCTGGTACCCATTGATGCATCATGCATATTATCTTGAATTGCCTGCCTACTTTTTTGAGGATTCACTTCCTTTCAACATCTCACTGCTACCTGATCACCAATTCCATGGTTCAGGAGAAGGATGCTGCTCTCTTAAATAATCCAGCAGCACCAGGTGTGGGTGCTAGAGCAGGGCCATTGTTTGACTCAACTAAAAAAGTGAAGGTAGTGAGCGCCAGGCCAAAACGGGACCAACCCATTCCAGAACAGCCATGCTATGGCAGTGCAGGTACTGCATGTAGGTGTATTCGTGCAGTGTGCACATGCCTCCACAGTCCTGTCTTGTAAAAAGCCTGATGACACAGCAATCTGATCACTGAATAGGCCATCTTGGGTTTGAGACTGGGTTGGGGCTACTTGCAACAAGCTTTGCTTAGTAAATAAAACGGCCTGCTTCAGTAGGAACTGAGTATCTGCAAAGAACCAACCCACTGTGTGTTTTGCTTGCATGATGTCAACACACTGTGCCTGGAGCATGAGCGTGGCAAACAAACCAGGCCAAACTCAACTGAATTTTGAACAATTGTTGTTTAACATACTGAAATGTTTTTTGCCTGTGGTCACCATGGTATCACCAAAACATCTTAAGATATTGGCTATCTATGGGCTAAAACTGGTGGCGTCCATATGCCGAACTAAGGCTCTCAGACTGACTGTGGAATTGTTGCGGGAACGCCCCTGCTATGCCGGCCATGTTCGGCGCAATGTAAATAATTTGTAGTCTCGAGTACATGCAAATCAAGGTTCACACACTGGCGGATGCCATAGGCTGTTGCACACTTCATTAGCTTGTGACGGCTGGGTTTACAGACACATCAACAACCGTTTTCAGCGCCGTCTGTTCCACGCGGCTCGGGAAAGATTAGGTAACCCTGCTACCTACAATACACTGCCACGTTAAATACTTACTTAAGTAGAAGGTTGGTGTAACAGTCGTGGGACTGGGCACCTTGATAGTTTCCCAGCAGGCAACAAGCCGTTCAGGAAGGGGTAATTTAATCCGACCCCCGAAGTCCACAACCTCGCCACACGTCACCCCACCACCCACTCGCCAAGCGCAATACTGTTGACATTTGCAGAGAATATCTTGAAACATATTTTGCTAGCAAATCTAACAAATGCTCAACGTAAGTATGAGCTGCTAGAAAAACAGTTTTTCAACAAATCCTAAATTTGATCTTTAACTTACCCAATCAAACTTCGACTTTTAGACGAATTTTTGCGGTGTGCGTCTGTTAAGAACACGCTTATTTTACTCCCCTAAATTTCTACTAATGTGGCGCTAGTGTTACATTGCCGTTTGTGGACGATGCGAAGGACATGCAGGAGTTGTCGAGGGTTGAAATCTTGTGAATGTGGTGAGGTCGTGGCATCTAAGGCATTTTACAACGCCAAGTTTCGTTCCAAACGAACTGCCAGCCGGCGATTCACAAATATTTGCCATGTCGTGCGAGTGCTTGCCGTAATAATTGTCTCGTGTGGGCACCCAGTCAATGGTCACAAACAGCGGCGGCAAAAAGCGGGAAAATCAAACGTCACCCTCGCGGCATTCGGTAGGTGCATGACAGCTTAACCGTTCCAGGTCTTAAAATTTGATAAAGATGACACGTCTTTTACATTGGCACTGATATTACTGTGTCTTTTGGTCTCCTGCACAGGTCAAGCTGGATATAGCATAACAATGATGACAAACAATGGTCATGTGCAACTCATTCAAAGTTTCATGTCAGGCACTTGACACTGTAAGTGCCTGATTGGTGAGGAAGATACAGTACCAGGATACCCCAATGCAATAAATAAAAATGGGCTATTATGTGATTTGCTGTAAATTGTGGGATTAATGAAATATATGATGTGGCCATCATGAATATTGTCATCTCACCATGGGTGTGTGCTTCAGTGTTATGTGAATAAATGTCACGGTCCTTACCATGGTATATGCGTGCATAATGCAGTCATCCCTCATGCTGTGTTAGTGAAGCAGGTTGGGGTAAGTCACAAATTTGAGCTTTGCTTTGTGCAGAATAAGGTGAACATTATAGTTCAGTAATTTCTTTTTGGGTAAACCATACAAATGAAGCACATTGTGAGTATGCATGTAACGCCACTCTTGCATTTGTTTTCTGCTGACTGCACCATAAGGCTTTGGCATTAAGTATATGAAAATGATGTTTTGAGTATCTGATGCTAATCTGCCAAGTAACTTACAAATACAAGACTCCAGGAATGTGGCAGATTTCAGAGCACATGACTGGCAAAAATCAAGATGCCATAAGAATTATAGGCTATGGGGTTGCCATGACTTTCATGCAGTGTGCCTGTTTCTCTGTCCAGGGATGTGAAAATGTTTCTTAGGCATGAAAACAACATGCCTTACCAAGGCCCAGCATTAGATGAAAATGTGGTTTCTGGTTTGTCTTATCTATAGGAATTGCAACATCTCATCAAGGTGGTTATCAAAATGAACTAATTCAGAATTAGATCATTGGTGTGTGTTTGACCTGTACCTGAACATAATTTTGGAGTTTAGTCTCTGGTAGGTAGGATGCATCACTTCTTGCTCTTGGAAAAAGGTGGTGCATGGTTCCACAAAGTCCCCTGTTCCTATGCCTATGCTGTGGGGCACAATGTATAATGGAAGACTGCAATATCAGAGCAAATAATTGATGTCATTAATTGACAGGAAGAAGACCACAATTTCACTGTTTAAGTGGATACAGCACATCTTTCAGTCCTCCAGCTTCACCGACGTCCTTGTGGCGGCAGGGCCTGGCCGGGACCTGACATTGTTCCGCACGGGTGTGACGTCAGCTGGCGGCCATGGAGCGCCAGCAGTACAACGCGGTGGTGCGCTGCATCTCGCGGCTCAGCTTCCCGCTGGACACCCGCGAGCTGACGTTCCCCGGCGTGCAGCGCGACACGCTGGGCAGCATCGCCTGCCACGAGTACGTGCGCCACACCAAGCGCACCATCTATCAGCACAACAAGCCGCACATCATCGCGAAGTATTACAAACAGTACGTGCTGGGGGAGGGGGCAAAGCGCGTAGCTGGATGTGGCGTGCGGTGCGCGCAATGGGGATGTTCTTGGTTAGCCCTTGCCATAAATGTTGTTTGTGTTGTGTTTTCTGTATAACCTTTGTGCTTGTACTGTGATGTTTGTGCGTTGGGTTTGAGATATTTACATCAAAGTGGAGGTGTGTCACTCCGTAAGGCTGAACCTTTGAGCTTAATTTGCATATGTTGATCTGATATTCGCGAACACTTTATCACATGAATCAGCATTAACCCAAATGTCAGGCTTTTGTGACCTGTATGCCACAGAGCTAATACCCCTCTTTAATCGCGGCGCGGCTGAGCCCGCCAGTCAACACCACTACAATACTGGTTATAGCAATACCCGGTCGCTAACACGCCGACTGGACGAATTCAACCAGGTCCTGCAGAAACACCACACGGACATCCTGTGTGTATCTGAGGCATGGCTCAAGCATGAAGCACTATGGAGGAGCGCGACTGCACCCGCAAGGCCTGGAAGCGCTGCTATACCGCAGAGGCGCGCCACGTATACTAGCGGCGCCGTAACAGAGTGGACGAAGTGATCACTTTTGCGCGACACCCTTACCTGTGCAGCGATTTGCTGACGGGGCGGCGAGACTTCTGGAACTGCCTCGGGCAGTTTGGACTGCAGCCAGCGGGAGGGCGCGACACGCCCGATTACACACCAAACCCTCCGTCACAAAAACTGGCAACTTCCACATTGCCATCTCTGGCACAGAATTCATCTATCATGTTCAGTGAAGATGCTGGGTGTACTCCTCTACCACCACCTCACCTAAGAAACCCACATCTCCTCTCTCGTTCGACGCTGTAATGCAATCCTCGTATCCCTGTTCAAAATTCGACACCAGTTCACGCCGGAGGTTCTGAAGCTCCTTGTCCAAATTCACGTATTCCCCACATCCTCCACTGCCTATCCATCTGGGATGGAGCGACCGAGCATCACCTAAACAGGATGAAAAGAGCATGTACTTCGCAGCCAGACCAGTGAATGGTGTCCACTGCAGCGATCACATTTCACCCGTTCTGGAAGCGCTCGGCTGGCGTAGCGTCGCGGATTTTGTGCACCACCGGGACTGCTTGAATGTGCACAGGGCACTGCACGCCCCCGAATACCTCAGTGCACTGCGTGTTGTCTTCGTGACGCGCGCCGAGTCTTCCCAACGTCAAACCCGCGCTTTTTTGGGCGGCGTCGGCTTGCTGCATCTCCTGCGCGTCCGACTGACCGCCACCCAGCGTCATTGTCCGTGCCGCGCCGCCGCCACGGACGGCGGCCGTCCGTGTGCCCTCACGGCGGGCACTCTTGACTGTTTTGAATCGCTGACTCACTGGCGGAAGCTGGTTTCACCTGTGCGCGTATATGCATCTCTGTGCACCGTGTGCGTGTTTTGTTGTTGTTGTCTTGTATGACTAGGCACAGCACAACCACCACGTGGACATGCCTTCAATGAAATAACTAACGGTAACAACTGGGAAACTATGGAAGTCGTGCATAACGGAAGTTTTTCCGCAGCATTCATCTGGCCACATTGGGGTGCTAATGACATTCCAGTTATTCGCCATAGTCCACTCTTTCACTACTACTCTCTCTCTCTCTCTCTCAAACTAATCATGAGATACCACACTCATCAGACCAGGCCCATCCAAATGTCATAAGAGGTTAATGCTTCAAGTTTATATGATCTCCACTCAGATACGCTCGAAGCAGCTGCAATGATAGTACACCTGCAGTGTCCGGGTCAGCTGTGGCAGCAAAACAAATCTACGTCTCTCTATGTGCAATTCTTATCTATGTGATATGTTGTTTGGTGAAAAGGTACGATATCTTTCACACAGATGGCACTCACTGTGTCCCTAAAACATCTGTAACGCTGTGTTGTTGTCACTTCGAAATCTCCTTTTGGAGGCGTTTGTAGTCGGAGGCATCCGAACAGCCAGCGTGCACCCGCTCCAGATGCCAAAGGTTCACCTGTAACGCTGCCCCTCCGCTGCTGCAGGTTCCTGGACGCGCTGGACGCCGGCGAGTCGGCGGGCGTGCTGCTGCGCATGGCCACGCGCCTGCAGGTGGCGCCCGCCCTGCTCGCCAAGTTCATCCTCAACTGCTACGCCAACGACACGGACGCAGCGTACCGGCGCATGTCGGACCGCGGCAAGCGGCAGCGGCTGGCGCAGCTGGTGCGCGAGCCGGGCCTGCTGGCCGAGCCGCGCGTGGCCGCCGAGCTGCGGCTGTGTGTGCTGCGCGACAACGGCTACGGCCCGCTGGCCGAGCTCGTCAAGCAGTGAGTGCCGCCGGCTGGGCGGTGATGGTCCCGCGCCGCCTGGAGCGGTGCCGCGATGTAGCCGTGGCTGCTGTGGGGAGAGGGGGTCCCCTAACCGGCGACATCGGCTACGGCCCGCTGGCTGAGCTCGTCAAGCAGTGAGTGCCGCCGGCTGGGCGCCGCGGCGGGCGGTGACGGCCCCACCGGCCTGGAGCGGTGCTGCGATGTGGCTGTGGCCGCTGCGGGGAGAGGGGGTCCTCTCGGATGTCGGCGCGCGTGGACCCGTGACGTGGCGAATAGTATGCAGGGTGTCAGAAGATTAGAGGGGGCCTGCGGAGCCGGATTTTGTCCAGCGGGTGGTTTGCTGGGATGAAATCTTCAGAGCGCGGTCCGGGAAGACGCGTGCCTTAAGACGCGGATGTTCCGGAGGCCGTCCTAACTGCGCTTTGTGGGGAAGAAATTGAGCGTATTTCGCGGGATGCATTGTCGAGAACAGTGTCCTTGATTCACTTAGCACGTGTAAAGGCAAGCAGGATGTGTCGAGGCTAGTCTTCCGATGTGGAGGTCTTGAAATAGGAAATGTATTAGTAGTGCCCTTTTTCTCATGGACTAGTCAATTTCGTCCCATTCGTTACCACTCGGTTGACGTATGGCTATGTCCCGTCACTTTGTGTCTTCTACTTTTATGTTACTGGAGTGATAGCAAAACAGCTTCTCACCTGTAATCCGGTTATCTTATTTCCAAGTTATGTGTAGCTGGTCATTAGGGGACACAAATCCTTGCACTACGCGCGCCAGCGCAGATCGCCCGGCCGCCAACGCCTCACGACGCTTCGCGCTTCCAGCACGGTCGGTCTGGAGTACGAGATGCGACTGAAGAAGAAGCTCATCTCTCTGAAGATCCCGTTTCTTGACGAAGACGACCTTCGGCGCCGGGGCCACGACAAGACCCCCGACGTGCTGCTGGACGTGCCGATCGGTAGGTCTGGCCCGGAGACTGGGCCCGGGCTCTTCTCACTGAGGGCAGAGTGGCCCCCGGAGCTGTTCAGACCAAGTGTAAGCACACGAGCCGCAGCGCAGGCGAACAACTGGTGAAATACAAAGCAAACAGAACAAAACAAAACAAACCAAAACAAAAACGGGACGGGACGGGACGGACGGGGATGTGTCTGGATAAGGACGGACCACATGCTGATATTGTCGTGTTTTGCTTTGCCATATCCTGTTTTGTACTGTTGTCTTGTATTGCCCTATCATGTTTGGTCTGCGTTGTTCTGTTCCACCCCTGCCCTGCCCTGCTTTGCCCTGTCCTGCCTTGCCCTACCCTGCTGCTCGCCGGTACACGCCACGCCGCGCCGCGCCGCGCCGCGCCGCGCCACGCCGCGCCACGCCGCGCCACGCCGCGCCACGCCACGCCGCGCCACGCCGCGCCGCGCCGCGCCGCGCCGCGCCGCGCCGCGCCGCGCCGCGCCACGCCACGCCACGCCACGCCACGCCACGCCACGCCACGCCACGCCACGCCACGCCACGCGTGGCACGCCACGCCACGCCACGCCACGCCACGCCACGCCACGCTATGTCTGGTCTTGTCTGGTCAGGTTTGGTCTGTTCTGCTCAGGTCAGACCAGGTTGGCCGGTCCAGTCCTCAGATTGGAGAGGACAGGACAGTCCGTATTGTTTGGACTGATCTCTGTCTCTTTCGTTTTGCGATGCTCTGCCATGTCATTACTATGCTGGCGGTGTTTGTCTCCGTCCAGTCCTAGATGTCCCTATTCTGCTCGTGCGCCCACTTTATCTGTCAATGCTGGCTGTGACCCACTTAGTCCTGGTCCGGTTTGTTCTGACGTGACCTGTTCTGTCCCGTTTTCCCTGCCCTGCCCTGACTGCTCTCTGCGTACGGTGCGGTGCTCGCCTGTCCTGTTCCGCTTCTGCTTTATACAATGGGAAACTCGCTAACCGTAGCGCCAAAAGTCGGAGAAGTTTCCAACTTAGACATGTAACGCCGTGGCATTATGTGCTTCCACACTTAAGGTGACTTTTGTGCTGCGATTGCCTCTCATTGAGGCTAAAAACGAAATGTTGGAGACCTCTGCTAGAGTAAAGAACAAATGCGTGTCAAAAGGAGAGATGTGATATGATTCCTGATAAAATGCAACAACGCAACATGCGCTGTAGCATTTTACATTCGTAGTGTACTAAAACACTTCTTTCCGGTGGCGTCGATCTCATTAGACGTGCCACCCCGTTCAGTGCAGTAAATTACTCCTGCGACTTATCAGCTCTCCCTGAGGCATGAACAGGATTTTTCAGAAACTTCGGTTCTTCCAGAATGAGTCTGGGTTAAGGCTACGTAGGTTATTAGACGTTCCATTGAGAAGGTCATTTCTTCCTCTGCCAGCAGACCTCTTCTGCGCGCATGATGACACGTGACGCCGTAAACTGAAGTGGTACGATCTTTGATTAAGACCCACCTATTAGACGCCCACATGGCTGTACCCGACGAACAAAGTGCTGTTCTTATCTTTATGTCTCCAGGAAATAATGAGCGATGTCAAAGTCGTAAAATCCTCAAAACGATAAAGGACTAATATAAACGAGAAAAATAGTAAAACATGCCAAAGATACAGACTCCGAGGAGCACGTCTTTCAAATTGCACGGTAAGCCACGAGGAAAGAGAACAGCACTTGACCATCGTTATAACGACCATCTATCCGTTACAGCGGTGTCGGGATGCATAGTGAACTGGATCGAAAGCAAGGCCTCGTTCGGTGACGACGAGACCCACGAGGCCTACATGCGGGACCAGTACGAGAAGTACTGGAGCAGGTAACTAGTGTTATGCAATGTCCATGATCCTGTATTGTGGTCATGACCGCTTGCATGATCTTGTGCTCATGACCTTGCCGGAGGTACATTCGAACGCTGCGCAGACTACATTGCTGTTATGATGTAGCTTTGATTCAGGTGCGTGTGAACCTGCCTGGTATGTGATCGGCTTTTAGTTAGAACATATACTCGTTCGAACTGCCAGCGATCAGTCCTCTTTCCAGACCCATCTGGCATCCCGTCGTCACGTGCGACAGCGTGATCAGCGCGTCACGTGCGACGGCCTACATGCCCAGCCTATATCAAAGTCGTGCCGCCACTCGTCCCTCAGTTTACCACGGGCTGGACCGTAACATTCGCTGGCGCCACAGTCTTCTATGCCGATGATATCGGAGCGAGAGCGAAACGCCGGCAGCATGAAGGCCGCAGCCCACAGCCTCGTGATTGTGAGCAGAGCAGGCCACTCCTCAGGTGAGGCGTCCTCTGTCCGGCAGGTTCGGACCGGGCATGGTGATCTACTGGTTCGGGTTCATCGGCGACCTGCTGCCGGCCGCGTCGGCGCGCCACGTGCTGCTGCAGCACCGCTTCCCCGAGGAGCAGGTGCAGTTCATGGCGCCGGAGCTGTCCGTGGCGCCGCTGGACGCCGCCGACGGCGATCTGCCGCTTGGACCGCTCTTCGACGAGGAGAGCGACAGTGAAGAGGAGCGGCCGCTGCCCGAGGAGAACAGCGAGGAGGAGGTCTCGGTGTGACGCGTGTGTTGGTGCGGGGAGAGGAGGCCTAGTGACCCAGCGCGGCCAGGAGAGCCGCTACAACAGTGCTGTCTGGTGATGCGGAGCGGCTGGCGGTGTCTACCGCGTGGACGGCGGCGCGTGCGTTGACGGTACGACTGTGCGGCGAGATCTGAGTTGCGGGCGGCAACGTGAGGTGTCAAAGGGAGATGCGCGACCATCCTTTGCCACGGGGTGTGAGGGATGCTGGCCTATGTTCGGTCTGCAGAGTGAGAGCCACAACGGAGGTGGCAACTGTGGATGTTCCCGGAGCATTCTGTGAAGGTAACAGGAAGCTGTGAGCGTAACCAAGTGCCGTGTAATTGCGAACACATCTGTATGTTCGTGTCCTTGAAGCTTGTCTCGGGAAATTAGATAGAGTTCACGACTTATTTGTAGCTCTTTTTGTCACGGATTTTCGTAGTGGATGCTCATCGCCGAACCGGTCGGTCAAAAGGGCGCGGATGGGGTGGGTCAAGTCATTTATGGCGCTCCCATATTCGTGGGACGTCAGCCGTGGTTGTGAAGCAAGCGACAACTGAGTGTTGGCTGTGCTTCATGCCAGCTGAACCGACATGGCCTGATACACAGTCATGTAGGACCCGGGCTAAACACAGCCTCAACGGATCAACTTATAACTCTGGTGCATCAGCTGACAATGCTCGTGGAAAAATAATGAGTATGACATGTCAGCGAGCATCGTGCTTGCAGTCGTTGACGTCTCCGTGAATGGCTGTGGGGAACGGTGACGGGGTCGGCCCATTGTCAACGCTACTTGACCCGCCGTGTGAGGATAGCTGTACTTTCGTCGAGTTGAAAATATATAGCCCACGATATTTAAGTTAGCTAAAGCAGTCAAAAGACTGACCAGAGCCTGAGGGCTTCGACACATTTGTGAGTATTTGTACTTTTTGTAAAACTTGAGTGTGAAAGACACGATGACCCACTAGGAGGCAGAATAGATGGTCATGCACTGAGACATTGATTGCTGTTTGTGCGGTGACTGTATATACGTGTACAGAGGACTGAACAATGACATGAATAAAGATCATCTAACACAGTGGTACCGCATCCTTCACTAAGATGCATGAGTATGCCGCACGAACGGGTACCATCTGTGGGACGTAGTGTCACTAGTGACTCACAGTCAGGTGCGTTTGTTCCGCCCGTGCCACTGATGGTAACTCATGCCACCATCACGATGCATCGGGGATATGGCGGAAAAGCGCGCTACAATTTTCGTATTGCTGACCGTGAGGACTTCGTCACGGCACTGCATGCGGCGAACGAACATCAAGCTGGAAGCGTCTGCAGTGCAACAGCGTGACGACACCAACAACATGCTCGACATCCGCTCGGCTCGGTCCCGCTGTTGTAGTGGTGCTACATTCGAACTGTCAGGGAGTTCCGCCGCGGACGGTCTACTGAACACATTCGTTTTGTGTAAAGTTCAGTCGTCTGGGGACTTAACGGAAGCGCACCGCACCTTCCACCTAGAAAAAGTCACCAAATCAATCTGCGCCAGCCAGCTTTTTGTGGACGCCCTTTGTTTGCTTTGCAATGCTGCAGTCACCCAACCAAAAATGATATTTGTGCTCGAAGGGTTATAATAAAATGCTCCACGTTTTGTTTCATAACCTGTTTTATTTCAGCCTGTTCGCGTTTCATTTTCGTCGGTTTCTTAAGTCACGTAACAAACGGTCCCGTACGAACCGAGAAAACATGGCGTACCAAAATTCTCCGGGATGTGACGTGAGAATCATACCGATCGCGGATTGTGAACGTTTCTAAGCCATACGTGATGCGGGATGGAGCCAACAGCTCGCCATTGTTCGTCCCTCATAGCTCGTTCAGCTTGCACTGCGTGAGGACGGTGCATGCTACGGAAGGCAAAACTCACAATTTTATCTAACCATGTCCAAGTATTGTTTGTTCAATTCCTGCTATTATTAACAATATTTACCGCCGTCAAATACTGACTCCGTGTCATTGTCTCAGACCAATGAAGCGTGCATAAAGCATGCAGATTCGCGGTGAGCTTAGTTACACATTCCTACGCTAGCCTGCAGCCGTTGTTTTAATAAATGCCATGAGCCTGAAACGTCTGCCCAGCGACGGGCTTTACCCCTGAAACCAGTTACAGCACTTGGGATAACGTCTTTGCGCTTCATATGTGCGCAATGCATATGTTAAAAACTAGTGCTGCTTTTGCCACAGAGTGCTGAACATGGCGTTTTCCTCGGCACATTTGCGTCCTGCTTGTTTTTTTGTTTCACAGATGTTCTCATTGCCGTTAAAAATCGATCTGTCTGACTAGACCGGGATTCTCCGCCTGTCGTTCTCCTTATGTCCCCATTTTCTCCGTCTCACTCCCTCCGCATCCCGCTCAGTCTTCCAGCCCTCGCCACTCGCCCCACTGGCAAGCGTTCCAGTTCTGCGTTCGTCATTGCATGCAGTGTGCGTTTAGATGTTTCTACTAATGCGGAAAGACGTCGTTCTCCAGCCAGCTTCTACCTTGAAGAAATCATCTGCGAAAACCCCCGGTCTCTCCGCCTGTATATATCTCCTTTCGTTCGCCTTGCCATCCCCATGCCATTCTTTCGCTCTTCTCCTGTTTCTCCTCTGGTTCTTTTTATTTTTCTGCTTCCCTCAGAACCACGCCTCGCTATCCTCTCCTCTCGGGGGCTGTCTGTGTAATGTTGTTTGCACTGTTATTGACTTGCACCGATGCCTTGAACAATATTTCCAGCTGTGCATTGGATAAGGTACATGTTTACGCGGCTATCCACAAGTATTGTTATTAAATTGTGGCTTATTGGTTGTACATGTCGCTGCCCGTGGTAGTGTACATGGTCAAAACCAAAAAAGTTTTCCTGATCGCCAGGATCCGGAATATCGCTCCGAGATGTCGTGATAAAAACTGAGCTTGAGCCTAACGGGAGGGTTAAAGTCCCTCGAGCATCTCCCCCCCCGGCGACGTCACTGCCATGCTCGGTCCGTGACCATCAACGCACTGCCGTGCTTGTTCCGTGCCCGCCTGCTCAGCCGTCGTGCTCGGTCCGTTCCCGTTCACATTCCACCGAATGTGCCCACGATGAAGGTCTGTTACATCAGGGAGCGAGACGTCATTAAAGGGAGCGTTCCACTTTCATAAGGGGTTTTGAACTGAAATAGCCGCCTTGAAGACCTTTCGGTGCTGTTCACAATCCTGCGCTTTATTATTCCGAAGCCCCCCTAGCTTTTGAGTTACACGCCCGCGAAAATGGGGAAAGGTATATCGGGGAGAGTATTTTGAAGTCATCTTGACATTCATGACCCCATATATATATATATATATATATATATATATATATATATGTATATATGTATATATATATGTATGTATGTCTATATATGCATATGTGTGGATATTTATTTATTTATATACATTAACGAGCCCGAACTGAATCGCATCTTTTGATTTGCAAGCTGTGTGAGACATGAGCCAAATGACTGAACGCAAGCAATGGGTCTGAACTGAGTCGATTCAAAATATTTGAAAGGGCTATGACTCGTGTGCTGAATGAGATCGTAAAATCTGTGGGACAGTCCTCAGACGAATACCAAAACTGAGTCGAACACAAGTCTGGTCATAGAACATCATTATAATCCTGCCATTCCATAAGCCAAGCGGCGATCAAGGCCAAAAAAATGTAATTGTCGAGACGCTTATATCTGGTGTTCGTAAGCTCGATTTTCAGATATAACGCCAGCCAGTTGGCTCTCAATCAATATTGTGCAAGGTACGGTGACATAATCAAGCCATGACGCCTTGAGTAACATCTTTACTAAACAAATAATTATGCCGTTTAGAGCAGTCTGTCCACTTAAAAAGTGAACCAATAATTAGAAGTGACCTTATTTCGTCATATCTGATGCTTACTTCAATATCTTCAAGTGTAAAACATTTCCAGCCACAAATGACAAAACATGACGGCAAGGCAACAACAGGTAATCGCACAGGTGTCTTTAAATCATTCGTAAGGCCGATCAGGCCAAGCCGCTACAAATGACATCATTTTACGAGAAGACGCCGACGCGTCGACAACTGCATCGTCGCGACAGTGCCGCTGCTTTTGAAGGCAGTACTGGCGATAACAGCGTGACGGTGATCACACAAATTAACAGTGGCAGGGAAATACACCAGTCGTTCTAAAAGTCATCACGCAGAAGAGGGTAGAGTGTCTTTTGTTTCTGCGATATGTTTGGAGTTTGGGGAGCTCCACGGACGGGCGTCGCTGAAATGCGGTTGTCGTGCATCCGGGGTTGAAATCGTATGTTAGGGCTTAGACAATGGCCTTTCCGGGGTAAAAATGTGATTTTCGTTGCTCTTAGAACGATGGCAGTACAGCAAGCTCTGATTCTTTTGCATGGTTTGTTCCAAAATGAGGATGCAAAGCAATTCCACCCATAAAGGAAGCATTTAAGACTGTAATTTAGGTGTGTGTGTGTGTGTGTGTGTGTGTGTGTGTGTGTGTGTGTGTGTGTGTGTGTGTGTGTGTGTGTGTGTGTGTGTGTGTGTGTGTGTGTGTGTGTGTGTGTGTGTGTGTGTGTGTGTGTGTGTGTGTGTGTGTGTGTGTGTGTGTGTGTGTGTGTGTGTGTGTGTGTGTGTGTGTGTGTGTGTGTGTGTATGTGTGTTTGTGGGGGGTTATGTGTGTGTGTGTGTGTGTGTGTGTGTGTGTGTGTGTGTGTGTGTGTGCGTGTACGTGTACGTGTGCGCGTGTGCGTGCATGCGTATGTGCGTGCGTGCGTGTGAGAGTGCGTGTGTGTGCATGCGTGTGTGTGTGTGAACATCATCCTTCTCGCCATTATATTCTACGCAGTCGACCTGCTGGTTCTGCACACCTCCGCCAACAATTTGTTCACACGCTTATTATCGACAAGAAGGAAGCCGATGCTGCGGTCACCCGTTATTGATCGGCCCTCGGTACAGACTGTACTCGAGAGTATCAGCTGACCGGCCACGGACCGCACGTCCTACACCGACCAATGGCAGGGCGCCACGCCACGAGGGGCGGTCCTTATACCGCACCACCCTAATAAGATAAATCGTGTAGGAATACGTTTTCTCTTGTCATGCCATCGCATTTCCATGGTTTGCCGTTGAGCCTTCCGAAGTACAACATCACAGTCACCACTGAGTTCTCCGCCATCGGCTCACTGTCGATAAGCACCTTCCTAAGCTGCCGATGCCGACAGTCTGCGGCATGATCGACACTGGGCGGACGAGGCACTGTGGTGTCACGGATGACACTACATTCGTTCTCGGGATTAGGCTCTGGGAACGGAATGGTACAATGGCTTGGACCCAGTTACTCTGGTTATTATCTCACTGTTTTTCGGAACTGATAAGCTTAGCTTAGGCCGCTAAACCTGCCACGATTCCCGGCCACGCCATTGCCTCTGGACGCTAATATGGCCAACGCCGTCACCAGCGCTTCTTAAAAGAGGTATTTCGATGCCCGTCATGATCCCTAAACAATACACAAATGGCATGGCAGCAGATAATGTAATTCCAGGAAGGTGACCATCTTGGCATGATAATCAAATGTCGATGGATGTTCACACCTATGCTGGGCCCCGAAACCGTAAGTGCGCAAGCCATGTGCCCTAAATTCTTAAATTTTGAAGCCAGAAATTTCAACGACCTGCTGTCTAATTTTTGGAAAACCTGCAAAAAGCGAGGAGTCTCCTGTCTCCTGTCTCCCTCATTCTGGATTCGGGCTCAGTCACGTTTTGTACACGCCTTTTAGAAACAAAAACATGGTGCTGTCGACTGGCCAGTGGCAATATGTGCATAAATACCCTAATCTTGCGTTGTTTCATCTCGCACATGCTGCCCGGGTGACTAGGCTAGAGCTGCCATGCTGACTAGGCGCCTCACGACGTTCGGAAATCCTTTCAGTGCAGAACACACGCATCCCGCTCCCTGTTGGTGACTCGGCGCAATTCCTTGGGGTTGTCGGTCGTCACACCTGACGGCAGCACACACACCTCGACTCAACATCTTTCAGAGCTTTCAGGGGTTTTTCCTGAAACGGGTGCCTGATAACAGGCCGCGCCACCACCGTCTTTCGATCGCTACAGAAACAATGGTCCGGACAGGTGGCCTGTCGGCTGACATTGCACCCCAAGACCCAGCAGCTGCCCCTATTCACGCGCGCACCGTGTCACGGCGCCACCATCTGCCGGCGCCGGTGCCAGGCACCTAGGTGGCAGCCTATATAATCCCATGTCGGCCGCCTCCACCCCACAACGGCCTCGAGAGGCGGAGGTTCGGGCTCAGCATGCGTCCCGTTCTGCTGTCGCTGGTGGCTCTGGCGGCGCTGCTGGCGCCCGGCCAGGCCAGCTGTCCGCACGAGGACGCCGCGCTGCGCCGCGCCAGCGACGCGTCCGGCTGGCCGGGCGGCGTGCTGCCGGCCGACGGTGCCTCGGTGGTCGTTAGTGACGCCGTGCTGCTGGACGCGGCGACGGCCGAGCTGGCCGACCTGACGGTGGCCGCCGGCGGCCGGCTGGTGTTCGACCCGAGCGTGACGCTCTCCAAGCTCGCCGCCGGCACCGTGATGGTGCACGGCGAGCTCTGGGTCGGCTCCGAGGACTGTCCGTTCGCGGGGCAGGCGGAGCTGGAGCTGCTCGGCAGGAAGGGTGACTCGGACGGCGTGGAGGCCGGCGGCTCGCGCCACGTCAAGGCACTGGTGGTGGCGGATGGTGGCCGGCTGGAGGTGCACGGCGCGCCGCGACGCGCCTGGAGCCGCCTCACCGCCACCCTGCCCAAGACCACGCGAGAGGCTGTGGTCGGCAGCCCGATATTCGACCAACAACAGTCAGAGTGGCACAACAGCCGCCACCGCGGCTTCCTGGCGTACGAGTTCGACGAGGGCGGCCAGGTGATTGGCTTCCTCGGCCTGCTGCACCGAGTGGCTGATTTCCAGGCGCTGGCCGCCAAGACGGACAGCGTGATCCTGCTAGTCCTGCAGCGGCAGGTGTCGTTCTCGGACGGCGAGGATGTGACGGCGATGGCGGACGCGCTCAGCGCCGCCTGCTTCAACGGCGAGGCGGACAGCGCCATCAGTGGCTTCACCGACGGCCAGGCGGTGGCATGGGCGGCTATCTGCCACGTGGGTCACCCGGAGAACAGCGTCGAGGAGGTGGGCCACGAGCAGGACGGCTTCTCAGTTACATCTCGTCTCACGCGCACCATCGGCACCGCCGAGTTCGTCGTCTACTCGGAGACAGAGCTGGAGGACGGCTGGCCATCCACGGCTGACGTGCTCTCGTACGCCCCTGGCACGATCCCGCCGAGGACGATGACGCTCAGTCTGGAGGACGACGTCAGTGACTGGAGCGCGGGCGACACGATCGTCGTCACGTCCACGGACTACGACTGGCGGCAGGCGGAGGAGTTCGTGCTGCAGCCGTGCGCCGACTGCGCCGCCGACCAGATCAGCATCGAGAGTCCGGCGGAGTTCACGCACTGGGGCGAGACCACCGACGGTGTGCGCATGGCCGCCGAAGTCGCGCTTCTCAACCGCAACGTTAGGATCCACGGCCGCATGGAGGACGCCTGCTACGGCGACAACAACTGTGACGACTTCAGCTTCGACACGTTCGGCGGCCACGTCAAGGTGCTGGCCGGCTTCCAGGCGGCCCACATCGCCAACGCGGAGGTGTTCCACATGGGACAGAACTCGGTGCTTGGCGCCTACCCCATCCACTTCCACATGTGTGGCGACGTCAGCGCGCAGGCCTTGCCACCGTACGTGCGTTCCAACGCCATCCATCATACGTTCGCACGCTGTGTGACCGTTCACGGCACCAGCGGCCTGCTGGTGGAGGACAACGTCGCCTTCGACCACTACGGCCACTGCTTCTTCCTGGAAGACGGTGCCGAACAGAACACGGTACTCCGCGGCAACCTGGGCCTGAGTACGCGGCGCACGAGCATCACCCCGACCGACCAGCGCATGGCGGCGACGTTCTGGATCACCAACCCGCTGACCACCATGGAAGGCAACGTGGCAGCCGGGTCCGATGCGTACGGCATCTGGTACACGTTCCCGCTGCGACCGATCGGGCCGTCGGCCGACGTCAGCGACATGGTGGCCGGCCAGGCGCTGCGCACGCCGCTCGCGCCCTTCGTCGACAACGTAGCGCACTCCAACAACGACTACGGCCTGCGACTCGACGACCTGCTGAAGACGAACGGCGGCGTCGGCGGCAGGTTCGCGTACGACCCGCGCGAGGACCCGCTCGACCCGACCTCGTCACCGGTGACCGTCACACTGCGCGGCTACAACGGCTACAAGAACTACAAGTCGGCGTGGCTGCGCGGCGCCAGCCTGGTAGCCGAGGATTTCAGCATCGCTGAGACCGTGGAGGGCGTGGTGTTCGCAAGCTCGGCGCCCGGTTCCAAGCGGCTGGTGCGCTCGCGCCTCGTGGGCGAGACGGCCAACAAGGGTAAGCCGGAGGGCTGGATTCCGCTAGCGAACGGCACGACCGTCTGGTGGGATCGCCAGATTCGCATGGGTGGCGCCAACCGCGCGCTGCCCATCATCGGCGCCATTTTCCTCGACGGCCCCGTCTCGCTGGAGGACGTCAGCTTCCATCGGTTCGCGACCAACGCGGTGCGGCCGTCGGGCGCGATCGGTCTCCGCCGCGCTTTGCGCTGGTACACCTCGCCGGCCAACCGCGTCGCCGGCGTGACGTTCGACTTCGCCGATCCCGCCGACGGCAACCGCGTCTACGACGCCAGCGAGGGCCAGGGCTTTGCCGACCTGGCGGGGAACATCCACTCCGTCTTTCGGGACATCGACGGCTCACTCACGACCTACGCCGGCGCGACCGTGGTGAAGCCGTACGCCGTGCATCTGAACGCCCGCTGCGCGCCCGTGCCCAACTGGAACCTGTACGTGTGCCCGGCTGCCTTCACCAAGTTCAAGCTCGAGTGGTACGACATGGCGTCCAGCCCAGTCACCTTCGTGACGCGCGACGACGGCAGCGCCACGCACAGTCTGCCGCGGCCGCGCCAGATCAGCTACGCCCTCAACTCGGAGGAGGGCTACATCCTACACTTCAACACCAGCGTGCCACGCTCCTTCAGCTTCACAGTCACCGGCCTGGAGGCGGGCGTCGAGCAGCGGCTCGGCGTCTGCATCGGCCGCGACGCCACCGACGTGCGCATCAGCCTCACCGGCATCCCGACGCCGACGTTCGAGGACCTGCTCACCGGCTCGCCGGGCACGCAGGTCTTCCACGACCGCGAGCGGGGGCTGCTGCTGTTCCGATTCCGCGTGCCGTACGCGCTCAGCGCCGACACGGAGACGGAGTGTCCGGGCGGCGGTCCGTATGGCGCTTGCCCGGTCGTGAAGGTGTCCATGGCGGCGGCGGGCGAGGACGGCGACTGCTCGGAGAGGGCGTACCCGACCTACGCCACCGCCCCACTCGACGCCGCCGGCGGTCTTGTCACACCGAGCTTCTAGGTGAGAACGGACACGGCGGACCGGACAGTCCTCTGTCGGGGCAAGGTGATAGCCGAGGTGGACAGCGCAGGCCATAAACTGAGTCAGAACGGTAGAGGCAGGGAGCAGGCGGCTTATTTTAGTATTTCTTTGGGTGTGCCTCGGAGCGTTTAACAAGCCGAATTCTGTGTGAAGTGGGGTTTGATATGATTTGGCCGTTCTGGCACCTCCTGCAGTCCGACGCGTACCGGTAACTGAACTGGACGCTGATGGCAGCTGTTGGATGATTGGTCAAATCGCTTATTGTCGATGTCAATCTGGGAGGCGTCAAAAATGTTTCACTGCCACCGCATGCAAAATGACACGATGCTGTTGCAATGAAATGCCACGTTTCTGTCGTTGGAGCGTTGGAGGATGCGGCAGTGGAGCAAAGTAATGTTCTTCAAGCTAATCATCACATCATGTCATCTGCGGGCCAGGGCGCGGTGGTTCAGCTGTGCGTCTGGGACACCAGAGGCACAGCGTTCGGTTCCCCACGGTGCCCGTCGTTCCTACCAGAGTGAAGGGCAGACGTCATCATAAAGCCTCAGGTGCTGGGTGTGACTTAAATCTCTATTTACTGCACCGTGCCATCGGACAAAGCTCCAATAACTACACCATGACATCGAGTAACATATAAAAATAAGTTAACTATAGTATCAAAGTTTAAAGTTTGACGTAGGTTGACACTGAACAGTCTGAGCTTGAAAAAGCTGCCAGAATGATAGCAATGCATGTCAGAGTGGTATCTTTTACCCAAGAAGCATAGAAATTCGCTTTGGGATGAACTTTCCGTGATAAGTAAGTATTATTTGTGACCTTTGAGAAAGATGTCGAGTCATAAATCATGAGAGATGAAGGCCAGGATATTAATTTTCGCGCACCTAAAAATGGTTTTAAATCAGCTATCTACAACTCCAGCACCAGAGTCACTTTGTGCCGTCTACTTCAGTGTACTGACCACTCATTATGGATTTGCGATGATGCATTACTGTCGTCAGACTTCACAGACTGATGTCATTACATACCTGACTGAGCTGGCTCTCATATCCATGGGTCCGCCCTTCTATTTCGGTGCTGCAGCCTTATGAAACTCTCCACTGTCCCTCTACCTTTGATGGACAATAGTCCATGTGGACTTCCATTATTGCACGGCTAGGTGAGGGTTTGCCCGACCACGCCTTTCATTGTTCTCTACGTTCTCAAATGAAACGCTGGCGTTGTAAGAAGTGTATTGCTGATGCCAAAATCCTCATCGCAAGCACACAAATATCGCGCTGACCCTCTGCACATCTTGAAGCATAACAGGTAATGCGTACAGTTCAAGTGTTTCCAGTGGTGCCTCCATTTACATCGGAAAACGAAAAAATGGCCATTATTAAGTAAAATAGTTGTTCAATGCCAGCCAAAATACAAAAGACACACCTGCAGTCAAGTGATGGGAATTACTGTGAAATTCTGAGAATTGCGAGGGAATTACACCATTCATCAATACACGCCAGGGTGACCGGATGGATACGACGTGCTCAGGGTGTGTGTTTTGTGTTTAAGGAGGTTGGGTGAGGTGGGCTGGGGGAGGGGGGGCGGGGGTGAGGGCTGTTAGACCCTCTAATATCTCAAAGGCCAGACAAACTAGAAATACGGATGGGGCTGTTGTTCACAGGGCTGGTGGGCCTTTGGGTGAAATAAGTTGTGCTAAATTCTTAGGTATTTAGGTCGTGCTTGACGTGTCAGCTAAGAACAAACAAGGGCAAGCTTGGAATCGGTGTCTGAAATAGCCCCAGATCTGCAAGAGCGACCAGTTTAATCTAGATACTTAACATAAGCGAGAGATCACCGGAAGTCATGTCATGTCAATTACCCTTTTTAATCTCCAGAAGGTAAAATTACTGATGACGATAGAATTCACTGACACGTTCTTCCTTTATGCTAATCTGAAATCAATGCCATGAGATACACTAGATGACATGTTTCTCAAAACATATAGTCGGCCGGGATCATTTCTAGCCATTGACCCGGGTTGACCTTAAAGTAAACACGAGAAATCTGGTAACGTCGTTGTGATCAGATGACTTGAATTAAGCATCAAACTCTTCTCCATAAAACATATTTTTCATTAAAAAGTGATTTGGGTTGCATCTTGATCTGACCTGGCTTCTTGCCCAAGACACAATCTCAAATATGCTTACAACATGATCTAACACTCAGCTGTCTCATCAGCTTAAATATTTGCCAAGAAGTGTCTGAGCTGATAATCATGGTGACTTTGACTCGCTACAGGTCCTCAGCCAATGAGGTGTATAATTTAAAAATATCAACAATTCCACTGTCTACAGCTATAGCAAATTTGGCGCCCGAACAAATAAGCCTCACGGAGTCAAAAAATCCCCATCTGAGCGCGTGTGCAAGCTCGACAGGATAACAACACTGCCACAACTATTACCATCCTCCTCTACAGAAGGCACACCACGGATCTGTGCTAGGTGACGTCGTGAGACCAGCCGGGTGATGAGATCCAACCTCACGACAAAACACTGGGCCCAGGGGGGGGGGGGGAGTCTATGTCAATGTGGTAAGCCACCCCATCAGGGAAATTTTCTTACGCTGAGTAACCAATGAAAGTGAAGGGAACCTGACAAACACGTGCTTTGGTTTTAAGATTTCTTCCCATGAATGAGTTCCTGAGTTCTGGATCTGGAACCGACAAGACCTCCAAGCACAAGTTTTTATACAAGCCGTAAATCTGACAAAAACGGCAGCAAAAGAAAACATGATCTAACACTAAATTGTGCGGATAGAACGAGCACGAACCAGGATCCTTCTTGGCACCACGTCAAGAACCTGGCATGGACCAAGGTCTGACTTGGTACGTGCGCGGGTACCCAACAAGAACCAGACCGAGCCTAGAGTTATTGCGATTTATTCGTTCGTGAAAGAACAAAAGGAAACCAGGGACCAGGCCTTGCTGGTCATGTAAAAATCAACTAGAACCAAGAAATCGTATCTTGAGTTTTTCAAAGAACTTCTGGGAAGCAGGAAGCAGGGCTGGTGTTTCTCAAAGACCATGCCTGAGACCGATCCGGAATCTCGTTCTCATGACATTGAAGTGGGAACCAGGTTCGGCTTTTGGGAACCAGTTTCGACTATTGGGAATCAGGCGTCTATGCTCGAGAAAAGCTTTTCCAAATTGCTGTCACCATTCCACGTCGGGTTATGGCGCCATTTTCGACCTAATGTCGCACACACTGCATTCTTCTTTAAAATGAACACGACCTCAGGTTCAAAATTGTTCTACAATCTACATTTCTAGGGAGCCGTCAACAAGCTTCGCTACGCTTTTTGTCTATGCTTAATCCTCCCTTGTTTCGCGCTGGTTACGCTGGGTGACCACCCCTGTTTTCCGCTGCATTAAACGCAACATCCCTAAAGATTTTAAAAAAAGATTTCGGCAGGACGCATCAGCCTGACCCCAGTGCAACGTCGGCCTGTCCAAAACCTCCACCTGCTTTCCTTTTTACACTGACGTTAAGCTCCATCCCATCATGATCCCTCCTTTTCTCACCATGTGTAAAGTAATTTTAATAGCGCCACGTATTAGTCGAGATGCCAGATCAGTGCGCAACCCGCCGTCCAGCGCCTGGCGTACAGCTGACCGGCCGTCCAGCGCCTGGCAGACAGCTGACCCGCCGTCCAGCGCCTGGCAGCAGCTGACCGGCCGCCTAACGCCGGGCAGACAGCTGACCGGCCGTCCAGCGCCTGGCGGACAGCTGACCGGCCGTCCAGCATCTGCCGCTGACCGGCCGTCCAGCGCCTGGCAGACAGCTGACCCGCCGTTCAGCGCCTGGCGGACAGCTGAGACTGCTTAGTCCTCGCGCAGCCAGTAGAGAACAGTGTCTGACCACATCGCGACCGTGGGTTCCATCCAAGGTGTGTTATTCCAGCCATAATTCCTGCTACTGACAAGCGTGCCCCACCAAACGGGACCAGGTGGGAGACAGGTGCTCAGCAATGGATTACTATCTTTAATGCCATCGCGGTTGATCCAGGGCACGACGTTTTGGATTGTCCTATCGCTGGTAGTCCAGTCGTCGAACGCCAGCTCTCGCACAGTGTTCTGATTGGGCTGGCTGCCGTTAAGCGTGGAGGACCGGGGGGCGAGCCAGACCCCGCCCCAGCGCTCACGGCCGGCAGCCGGTACCTGCGCCTCCAGCCTGCCGTCAGAAAGGTCAGAGCGTCAGGCAGGTTCATCATCTCATGTCACCTTTCCCATTAAAGTCATGCAGACAGGTTAAGGTAAATTGAACGTTGTCATTCCAGCATTCATCATTTTAAGGACACTTCATTTTCTTCCGGTGGTGACATGCTACCGTCACCATTAATATTAGCACTGCGATGACTACTGTAAATGAAGACACCATTGAAAATATGTAGTGCAAGCCAGCGCGGTTGAGACACAGTAAGCACGTGGCAACTGCACTGACCTGTATCTGAAGTGCGTTGACGTGCCGAGGCTCTTGATCTGGTCACCGTAGCGCAGGATCGAATAGTTGTCGGTCAGTGTCGGTGTGTCGGTGCTTCGCTCCAGCACCGAGTGGAAGTCCCAGCCGTCGACCGAGACGGAGGTCACCAGCAGCGTCCAGCCGCCGCCCAGGGTCAGGGTCATGTCGCAGTACAGCGGCACCGGCAGACCGATCACCCTGTACACGCCATCGGTCGTGTAGCCGAGCGCCTGCAGTTGGCGACAGCTGCCGGCCGGCCGCTGCAGCGCCACATCGCCGACAGCTGCTGGCAGCAGCGGTAGTAGGCCGCCATCAGGTCGGCCCACTAGCTGGCAGCTGCCCCCAGCCCGGAAGTTGGCCGCCACACAAGGCGGCGAGCGGAGGCAGAGCAGGGCGCATGTGACGACCGACTGAGTCGCCTCCGTCTCGACCACTGCCGACGGCGAGGCCAGGCCCGCGTGGGTCGTTATCAGAACTGCCTGG